AATATTTAGAATATTAATTATAAGGACAAAAGGAAGAAGATGGTGATGAAAGGAACATCCAATGAAAAGGATATATATACGTATGTTCGTGATTGATGGACATTTATAATTTCTTTCAGGATAAGATATTTATAAAAAAGGCAAATGTAAAAAAAAAGAGTGGACTGAATTAAATAATTTAAAATTGTGGAAAGTATAGTACAAAAATAGCAAGTTAGCAACAGCCAATTGAGAGCTTCTTCCCCATGATGTCGGTGTATTGATTTATCCATCACAGTTCATAAACCAGCTACATGAGGATGACAATACAACATGAGGATTTTAATGTTTTTTTGTTTTTTTCTTTATATTAATAAATAAATATATTAAATTGATTAGTTGAGACATATTTTCATCAGTATTAAATAAATAGAAAAGCACTCCCTTTACAGCTTTTTGTGTCTTACAGAATTGAACTTCAATGGAAAATCTAATTGATTTTTTATTTTTATTTTTTAAAATAATGACTATAACATGTCCAAACATTAGTACTGTACTTACCCTTTTCTTTTTCTCTTTTGTGTATTGAGATGGGAGATGGCTGCTTGACCCTTCTTTCTACTTATGAATTAGGGACGCAAATTTTCAAAAAGCTATATGTATAAGTTATTATGAGTCAAAGAAGATAATGATCAAGTGTTGAATAATATTTCCCAAAATACCTTACTTAGGAAGATTTTTTAAAATTTTCTGATGTTTAGGATGTTTAAAATATTTTATTAACGAAAAATATTTTTTTAACTCTAGTTAAAAGAGAAAATTAAATCACTTCAAGAGGATATGAATTTTTAATTTCAAAAGATGAAACTATTATGAGATATTAATAAAAATTATTATAAGACAGGGTGGATTCAGGTAGTAGCTATATTTTCAAAGTTTTTAATTTTTCCTCCTAAAATTTATGTATTATTTTAAAAAATATATAATTTGTTTTCCAAATTTAAAATCTAACTCTATTTTCATTTTTCAATTCACCTAATGTTAAATTATAGTTCTATCTTTGCTAGGAGTAACCATTATCAATTACAGCAAATCATCACCCATCATCAACCACCATTATTTGTTAGAGTTAATGCAAAACATCTGACCGAATTGAACCAAAAATCAAACAGATTCATTTCAATTTGGTTAAGTCAGTCTGCTCAAAGGGGATTTAGTTTTGTCTTAGTCAGTTTAAATTAAATTATTGACAATTCCGCTCGAGTTTATAAAAACTAATTGATTAGGTTTGAAATCGATCTGAAATAATAAAATCGATTAAAATCAACCGAACCAAATTCAATTCAAATGTCAATTTCAATTTGATTTTGATTCCGATAAAAAAAAATTCTATTTTCATTTTTTACTTTAATTCGATTTGAATCAAATCAACTGTTTGCTCATCCCTACTATCTATCACATGACAATTGCTGCCTATCACCACAAATCATTGTCGAGTGGTATAATTTATCGTTTTTATACATTTCTTTTTCATTTTTTATAATAAAACTTAAAGTACAATATTTTTTCAATAGTCATAAAAAATTTTAATATTTTCACCAGTCAAATGCATAAATTCACTCATTAAATATTTTAACTCCTAAAATTATACATATTAAACACTTCAACTGACAAATCCATTCTATTGGATGCTCTAACTTGTAAAATCAAAACAATTAAATACTTGTTGAAAAATTAAAAATTTAAAAATTATTGTTGTAAAGGTTGTATAAACCACAAGTGTAATTAATATTTTACATATAAAGCTAAAAATGCTACAAAATTTTTTTGATATGTATAGAAAGTGCATTATCTAAATTTGTAACTTTTTGGAATGTGATATAAGTTCTGATTAAATGTAAGCATTGGTGAATTTACAGAGTTAGTCTATCTTTAACTAATTTTTAATATTGCAATCAAACAATAAATATATAATATTTTTTAAATAAATTAAACGATAACACTTGAGCATCTCAATATGATTAAAGTTTTTGACTTGGTTTTCGAACAATTGTTTGAGTGGCCTAAGTTTATTTTTGTTACAAGAAATGTGAAATAAGTATGACAAAGTTCTACATACCACATTTTATTCGTGCAACACATAATTAATAGTTTTCATGCGTATTTATTACTACTAGACATACATATTCTTGTTGGGGAATGCTTCGGTGAAGCTTTTCGGAGGTCACAGAACCTACTTTCCTAGAAGAAGCAAACTCCTTTAGTTTCCGCACATGCACGCTCTTATGTTAGTGCCATGTTTGCTGTCCCATCAAAGTCAACCGCTCCTCACTTTGCATTTTCTCTCCCTCTGTAGTTTTAGGTATTTGTCATACTATAATTTCAGTTTTTGATAATACAATTACATTAAAATATTTAATTATTTATCATCCGAGTAAGATAGAACGGCGGTAATCGTTTCTCCTTTAATCAAAAGTCTCAAATTCGAGCATTAAACATTCGGAAAAAAGCGTTTTGCCTTTTTTATGGGCCTATTCTGCATGAATTCAGGTTAGTCGGAATGATTAATATATAAATACTAATGAAGATTTCAGTTTTGTGATAATACAATTACATTAAAATTATTTGAAATTGCTATTGATCATTCGAGTAAAGAATAACGAACGTGCGGCGGTAAATCGTGTTCTCCTTGTTAATCAATAAGTCTAATTCGAAGCATAAAACATTCGGCAGAAAAAAAGCGTTTTTCCTGTTTTTTAACATGGGCCTATTCCCTGCATGACATTCCAGGTTAGTCGGAATGATTAATAATATACCTAATATATAGTACTATAGTATAAGATTGTATTTGTATTTTATTAAATTCAACAATACAATTGCATTTATAAAAGGAACTATTGTAAAAAAAAAAATTAATAATTGTATATCGGAAATGCCTAGTACAAGTAAAAGCAGAGCCTCTGAATCCCAACGAGGATTATGGGCCACATGCATGTATTACTGAAACTCCTAAAGGAAGAATCAATCAAAATCATGAGCATAAGGAACTAATAAGATGAAACATGAACTAGATTAATGAAATCCTAAAACCTGTACGTATTGGAGGTCTGCCAGCAGATTTGCTTCACGCAAATGCCGAATATCGTTACTTTGTTGAAGTTTTTGTATACTCTATGTATCAAATGGTTTGTATCAACTATCAGAGATTATAAATGTTAGAGACTCTGTATTGCGTTAATGTAAGTTGTTTCCGCAAAGAAGTATTAAGTTATCGTCTTAATCGTCTTTCACCCACTAGCAGGACAGAGATATATTTGGTACGCTAGCTTGATGAGATTGAAATGGCGTAATTTGAACATCGTGAATGATCACTGATGAAAGTATAGGATTGAATCTGGGATTAATTAAGATGATTTTAATTTGAAATTGATAATATACTTGAATACATAATAGGCTGCAGAAAATATGATATTTATTGGTCCCGTGATAATTATTTTATTTTAGTTAAATTAACAATAAATCATTTATAAAGAACTATTTAAAAAAAAATTAATAATTGTATATGGAAATCTAGTACAGAAAAGCAGAGCTCTGAATCCCAACAGATTATGGCACATGGCATGTATTACTGAAACTCAAAGGAAGAATCAATCAAATCATGCATAAGGAACTAAATAAGATGATACTAATTAATGAAATCCTAAAACCTTACTGTATCCAGCAAATGCTCAAATGCCAACCTTTTGAAATTTTTTATTTATTTCAATATTTATCAACTATAATATTAAATTTAGTATTATTTCCAAGTATTAACTTATCTTTAAAAATGTTTTCCAAAATCAAATATTTGGTAATCGCTAGTGATTGATGGTAATTAATTCGTGATGATTGACTATCAATGATTAATGGATTAATAAATATTTATTTTTAAAATTATAATAAACTGAACAATGTTCAAAAAATATATTTTTCCCTTTTGAAAAAGAATATTTTCTTACATAATGACTTAATTACATATATAATATTTTATTTAATAAATTTTTAATTAAAGTAATTCTCTTGTCACACAGTTAATTTTCTAAATTAATATTTATAGTTATAATTTTTTATTTTATTTATTAACCAATAGAATTTAGATTTAAATAAAACATCAACATTATGTTGATGAAATTAAATTATTTTTATTTTTCTCAAACAATGAAATTAAAAACCTTAATAATATTTTTATCAACTCATACATTTATTCAGGTAGTTTTTGCTAAACTCTTAATTCTCCTTCGCCATTTTTAATTTTATATACATTATAGATTCTAGATTTTCATAATAAAATGGAAGAAAAAGATTAATATAGTCAACTCCAACTAATTTAAAATCATAAAAATATACTCCCTTCGTCCCATTTTGTTTGCTTGTTATTTCTTTTTAAAATGTTTCAAAATATTTGCAAAATTTCTAAATTTGTACATTTAAACAATTATTTTTCCTATAATAACTTTTATAATTATTCATTAAATGCAGAATTTTTATTAATATCTTAATGAGTTAAAGGGTAAAAATGATAAAATAATTTTTATTGACTAAATTTTAAATATGCGTGTTTTGTCAAACCATACATATAAAAATCAGACGAAGTGAATAATTATTATTGATTGTATTATTATTATTATTATTATTATTATTATTATTATTATCAAATTAGGTTGAAATATTCTCATATTGTAACTACGATCGTGCTTAAAATATCTTCAATAATTGAGATTTTTAAAAATTGGTAGATTTTTAAAAATTTTATTTTTCCGGCCTTAAAAAAAATCTATTGAGGAGAATAACCATACTAATAAGATGATAACGGCATCGATATATGTACTCTGTTTACTTAGCATGACATTATCCACGTGTCTTATTCCTACAGTTAGTTGACTCTTCTTGAACCTTGACTCTCCCTCTCCATAGGCTATACATCTTCTGTTGATAAAAAAGCCATAAACAAATATATAAAGTGGAACAGGATCAAGTATTAACAACCACCACGAAACTACCATCCAAGTTCATGAATCCTACCTCATTTCCTTCCCTATATATGTCCCCATCTCCACCACCATTTCTCACTCACCAGACACATAAAATCTTCGAATTCTAAAGAATTAAATGAAAATGCCTTCCTCTTCTACAACTATAATCTCCAAATGCACTATCTACCCAGACCATAAGTCCTCCATTAAAACCCTCAAGCTTTCCGTTTCTGATCTTCCTATGCTTTCTTGCCAATACATCCAAAAGGGTGTTCTTCTCTCTTATCCACCATATTCCGTTGATGACTTTATCACATCTCTTAAACGTTCTCTCTCTACCGCTCTTGCTTTCTTCCCTGCTCTCGCTGGCCGTCTCTCCACCGATCCCGACGGCCATGTCCATATAGTTTGTAACGATGCAGGTGTCGATTTTATCCAAGCAAAAGCTAGACACCTCTTTATCGACGACCTTATTTCTCCTCATCTTGACGTTCCTGATTGCGTCAAGGGTTTTTTCACTTTAGATAGAATGCTTAGTTATTCCGGTCACTCTAAGCCCTTAGCTGCAATTCAGGTAACAGAGCTTGCCGATGGCGTTTTCGTTGGCTGTACTGTTAATCACGCAGTTACTGACGGGACTTCTTTTTGGCATTTTTTCAATACTTTCGCTGAAATCTGCAAAGGGGCCAAGAAAATAACAAAATCGCCTGATTTTTGCCGTGACACCGTTTTTAACTCTCCGGCGGTGCTTAAGTTCCCCGCCGGTGGTCCTAAGGTTACCTTTTCAGGTGATGAGCCGTTGCGCGAGAGAATTTTCCGTTTTAGCAGGGAAGCTATCCTTAAGCTTAAAAGCAGAGCCAATAACGGTAATTTCTTAGAGATATTGGGGAGACAATGCAACGACAGTTGGAAAGTCGTTGATGGAGACACAAACAGTTTCTTAAAGAATAAAGCGGCAGAGATTTCGTCGTTTCAATCATTGTGTGCGCAACTCTGGCGTTCCGTTACACGTGCGAGGAATCTCTCCCCTACAAAAACGACTACGTTTCGTATGGCTGTAAACTGCCGGCACAGACTGGACCCAAAGCTCCATCCTTACTACTTTGGTAACGCGATACAGAGTATTCCTACCTTAGCTACAATAGGAGAGCTTCTTTCTCGGGATCTGCACTGGGGAGCTGACTTGCTGCACAAAAACGTCGTCGCACATGACGACAATACGGTTCGGAAGGGTATAGCAAATTGGGAAAGTGAACCGCGTTTGTTTCCGCTAGGAAACTTCGACGGTGCATCAATCACGATGGGTAGCTCACCCAGATTCCCGATGTACGATAATGATTTTGGGTGGGGCCGACCTTTGGCAATTAGGAGCGGTAGGGCCAATAAATTTGACGGCAAGATCTCAGCTTTTCCCGGTAGAGAAGGGAATGGGAGCGTTGATCTGGAAGTTGTTTTGGCACCAGAAACTATGGATGGACTTTTATCCGACGGTGAGTTTATGCAGTACGTATCGGTAAGCGAGTAAGTGATTACACAGTAGTAAAAACTCGAATAGAGATAAGAAAAAATGGGCAAGGCTGCGAACATGTTGGGTGCCGATGATGTGGTAGCTGTCCAAATCTCTGGAGTGTAATGTGGTGGTGATGGTTACAGGTCAGACATGTGGGGAAATGAATTGGAAGGTTATGATTGGGTATTTGAAATTTTCATTTTTGTTTTGAATATTAGGCAGGGTATAATAGGAAATAAAAAGCACCATTTTCATTTTGGGATTGTTTTGGCATAATTAATGTGTGTATGACCTTTGTAAATGGAAACTGGCAACTTGCATTTCCTACATAATTATCATTTATCAAGCAAAGAGAATGGAAATTTTAGGCACCATTATTGTGGAAATTTCTGATTTCATGGAGTATAATATTAGTATAAATCATTTATAAACAAGGCTTGGCCCTGTTGCCTGTAAATTAACGGGACCATGTCCTGTATACTTCAATTACATATTTGCATTACGGCTTTAGTATTATTATTATTATTATTATTATTATTATTATTATTTAATTTAGCAATACTTCTTATTTTATTTATTTATTACTTAGATTATATTTTATTTAGGGCTAATAATTTATTCTCTTGAAAAACGTTGTGTTCTTTTTATTTTATCCTAAGATTCTGGGTTGAATTTTGTTTTTGAGGTTTTGGATTAAATTTTACATTTATTCAATAGGCTAATTTGTAAGGTTTTTCATATACACTTTTAAGTGTTATTTTTTTACGAATCAAGAAAGAATTTACTATATTTTTACTTATTTATCCTTATTTATTGAATCAGCTACTACAGTAGAAGATGTTGAAATTTGATAAGGTAAAAGGGTATTGAGGTAATTTAAAATGAAAATTTTATATAATTAAAGATAAAATAATCATTTTCTTGTTATGTGTGAAAAATATGAAAGTTACGGTTTGAGTGGAACAAGGGAATATATTATTTTCTTAGAAAATTTTCATTATTATCAAATACGATAATTCAAATTTCCTATGCTACTTTCGCGGAATTCTACTTTCTTAAGAAAATAATTTTGCATAGAAAAACTAAATTCTCGCAACAAAACTGTTAAATTGATTCAAATTTAGTATTTTATGGCTTATTTCTAAAATGATTTGATCTGGCTTTTACAAACTATTTTTTTAGAACAATTTACTTTAAAACAGAAAAAAACCATGTCAAATAATTTCATGACATTTTTAGTACACACAGCTATTAAAATGAGAGAAATTTACAAATCCTTGGTCTTGCTTGAAAGTTTGTTTTGATGTTATACTAATATAATATGTATATGATTTTATTAATTGATGCACAAGTATTTTTTTACAGTATCAAACTGCATACCAAATTGTTTTTAAGGGAAAAAAAAAACCCCATGATACTACTTTTTTTTTTAAGGGAAAAAAAAAAAAAAAAACCACAGGCTAAATGCTATATTTTTCTTTGAAAGATATCATCACACTAATCTATCCAAACCATTTAAACTGCAAACCAGACCATAATTGATGGTCCAAAATATACAGCAAAAGAACAAATTCACAAACAATAAATAATCCACAACCCTTTTAGGTTCGTTTTCCTTTTTTTTTTTTTTTTTTTTTTTCTGTTTTTCTTCTGAAAGATTATCAATCCCACTAATACGTAGTCCCAGCACATTTAAACTGCAACAGACGCCAGTGAGATCTGAATGGTCCAAAATATAACAGACAAAAGGACAAATTCACAAAACATCAAAATAATCCACGGAACCCTCTTTAGGGTTTGTCGTTTTTTCCTTATTATTTTTTTTTTTTTTTTTTTCACCCCTTATTATACATAACACTGTTTTGCAGAGAAATCCGTCGACTATAAATTAATCTTCTCACGTTGGCGTCTGGAGACGGGGAAAATCCGCTTTAACCAGCCACTGAATTATTTTTTTTTTTTTTTTTTTTTTCCCCCTTATATATAACACTTTTTGCAGAGCAAATCCGTCACCTATAATTAACTTCTGGAGACGGGAAAATCCGCTTTACCAGCCACTGAATAGGTCTGAGTAGCTGTGCTCTCTTCTTTCGCCAGAACCAAATCGCAGCATTGTAATTTTCGTTACGGATTTTTCTAGTGGCTGCCCTCCAGTCATACTTTTCCATTTCTTGACGTGCTGCTTTACCCATGGTTTCTCTTAGTTCCTGGTTATTTAACAATGACTCTAATTTTCCCAAGCAGTCATCAATATCTCCTGGAGTGTACAGAAAACCAATTTTACCATCCTGTTCAGGAGGAATTATATCAGGAATTCCTCCAGCGCGGGCTCCCACAACAGGAATTCCTGAAGACATTGCCTCCAAAACAACAAGACCGAGTGTCTCAGATTCTGAAGGCATCACAAAAACATCCCCACTGGCATATGCCTGAGAAAGCTCTTCTCCTCCCAACATTCCAGTAAACACCGCAGGCATGCCAGAGAACATCTTTTCCAGCTCCTCTCTGCCAAGACAGGAGTTGTGATCCATAAAGTAAGAGTAGTGAGTTTACTGTTAAGGCTTTTATTTGCATGGAAGGAATTTTTTTTTTTTTTTTTTTGGTTTAACAATCCGCTTAAGAAATAAACAGAAAGAATTCAATTCTAAATTTGCAATCTGAAATTAGTGCAGACCAAATGACTAGCTTTCTTTGACTATTTCAAGAGAGTTCAAATGAATACCTATATGGCCCATCTCCAATAAAGGCAATTCTTGCGTCTGGAAGCCTATCCATGACCCTGTTACAATAAAATTTATTAAATCTGAATGTCATAAAGCCATGCCATGCTTTATAGCCAAGTGTATTAGAAAACCTGCATGCACCCGATCCATGTAGGTTTTCTAATACACATACCTGCCTGCTAAGCTATCAAAAGATTGCTAGATGTGCAAACATACAACCACGTCATACATCAGAAATAATATTCGTTGGTTGAAATTATGACGGTTACAATCACAGGAATAAGAGGGGAAAGAGGTAGAAGAAAAGGAAGATATGGTAGAGCACGAGATACCGTTGACAACTAAGATTGCGAATGAACGAAGTACAGAAAGTTTTGGCTGCATCAGGCTTGACTCATTTATGAAATGAACCGAGCTAAGTTGAGTAAAGGACTTGATAGAGATTAGAACGCAAGAACAGTAAGCAGAAACAGAATTGATTGAAGGACAGAATTTGTAGTAGTATTAGAAGAAGAAAGTTGAAGATAACAATGGAGAGTGACAAAAATGACTGTAAAACAGCCCCCTAGAAGAAGAAAGTTTGAAGATAACAAATGGGAGAGTGACAAAAAATGACTGGTAAAAGCCCCCCAGGACATGAGCCGCCGAACAGATACTGCTGCTACAATACAACAAAAGGAGAATAGAAGAAATTGCCCCTATACATGATTACTGCTAACATAGTATAATAGAATCATTCTAACAAACTCTTGGCTGTCTCAATAAACATGCTGAGCTGTCTCAATCCCTTCCTTGCTGCACACCGCTCCCCTTCGTTGCAGATTTATTCCTTCTATAATAAACCAAAAACGGTTTTGCACTTGATGATGTGGCATTCCTATCATTACCCACCCCTTCTGAAAAAGCCTTGTCCTCAAGGCTGAAATTCGGAAATTGTGCCTTCAAGTCAGACTCGTTTATCCAAGTTGCATCTGTTTCGTTTTGCCCCTGCCACTGAATTAATACCTGAGGTATTGGGCCTGAAGTGGAGTGCAGAGATCGTCGCTGGCAAACTTTATAGGGCTCAACCAATGGTCCTGCTTCTATGTCGAGACCATCCGGCAACTGTGCAATGATTGGATGGTTGCCAATTACCCTCTTGAGCTGAGACACATGGAATACAGGGTGTATTTTGGATCCCAAAGGCAGTTGGAGCTTATAAGCAACAGCCCCTACCTTCTTGAGTACTTCGAAGGGTCCGTAGAATCTAGCAGCCAGCTTGTCGAAGTCCGTTTCTAGAATCTAGCAGCCAGTTGTCATTGCACTGCTATTGGCCTACGGACTGCTGCCGTATCGTGGCCTAAGTTTAGAGGAAGACCTTTTCCCAGGGCCCAACGGGGAAACTGAACATTCATGAAGTTTTGGGGTTAGCATATTTTGTCATCAGCTGCTTCGAGCTCGTATGTAGATTGTAGCGAAGCCTAAAAAGCTTATCTTATCGCCTATCTTGGGGAGGGCTGGGGAAAAGAGCTTCAAGACGAGTTTCAACCCCGGAGGTGCACCGTGGCCTGTGAAGGGTGGGGGTTGGGGCCCTGACCATAGACCTAGTTCAAATATGGTGTGTTCTATCTTAGCAGCTTCCCTTGATAATTGGTGTCGTAACAATATTTTCTGCCAGCAAAGCCACTTACGCCATGGAATTTTCGATGCTCGGAGGAGAAAACCACCTGAGGTGAGGATTCCAGCTTGCGGTTTTAGCACTCTGTCTGACCATCACTTTGGGGGGTGACTCAGCGGTGCTGAAGGAGCCAAGAGTAGGTCCTTTTGAAGCGGAAGAGTTCCCAGTCCAAGAAGTAACTTAGGGACATGGGGTCGCGGTCCACTGACAATAGTTTCTGCGGAACACCATGGAGTCTCACATCTCCTCATAAAACAGAAGTGCTGCGATGCGCTGTAAAAGGTGTCGAAGGCCGCAGAAAAGTGAAAGTGAGCATATTTTGACAATCTATCAACCACCACTAAGATGCAGTCCACCCCTTGGGACTTTGGAAGGCCTGTGATGAAATCAAGAGCTATGTCCTCCCATATTTGGCTTGGAACTGGAAGTGGCTGCAACAGACCCGCTGGTGACTTAGCCTCATATTTGTGTGTTTGACAGATCAAGCAAGCAGCGACAAACTTCTTTATGGTGCCCATCATACCAGGCCAATAGAAATTGGAGGCAACCCTTTTGTAAGATCTATAAGCTCCTGAATGTCTGCCTAACGGAGTAGAATGAAACTCTTCTATGATCTTGGGTATCCACTTAGAGGAGGGAGGTAGCACCAATCTGAAACTGCCTTCTATGATACTTGGGTATTCATCCACATTAGAGAGCGGAGGATTGCAGCAAGGTTCGGATAGTTCTCCCTTACTGAGAAGCAATTTCCCAGAGTAGCAGATTCGTTAGAGTGCTCCCCAGTGCGCCACACACAGTTTGTGCTGATCACAAGTCGCATGATATATACGGCGCACGCAGAAACAGTTAGTTAGAGGTCTTGGACTGATAAGCTGAGTTGTTTCGCTGTGTGCAGTCGTCCAATAGATGATTTCCGATGAAACTGATGGAGAGAGTGGAATATCCTTGTTGGATTTGGTCCCCTAAGTATCGCTATTCCTGTCTATCTATCTCATGTGGACCTCGAGATGGCTTGAAATTCAACCTCTCATCCATGACAGCGACGAACACGGGTCAGTCAGCTGCCCACAATGTTTGTTGTTTCCGGTCTTATATTCAATATTGAGATCTGTTAAATCGCTCAATGAGCTTGGCTGACGTGCAACTATTGTTGGAGATGCCCTGGTGTGACGGCATTTTGTTGAAGAGGTGCCTAAGGCTCTTTTGATCAATCCTCACTATAAAACGACCGTCGCCAATTAAGTATGGGCTCCAGGATGCCGCGGGAGTTGCAGAAAGAGAGGGTCATAGTCCAACTATCGATGACTCATCCTTTCCATAAGGCAGACCGTTGAGCTGGCTAGCGTCTCGTAGCCTTGCTGAAATAAGCAAGAGGCCTGTTTATCTTGAGAAGGAGGACAAGGGTGACGTAATGAGAGGCGCCCGCTCAACTCGGGCGCGCCGGAGCACTTCAGAAGCGTCGGTGTTTCGCACTACAAGGGCTTAGAGGCAATTGTGGCAGATTTCGCCAGTATCTTGGGGAAGTAAAAGTCATGTGGGAAATGCTTCGAGAAGCAATGAATGCGTCTGCAGCCAATCTTTCGTGGCCCATGTGAAGTTTTGGGCCTTGGCTTGCCTTCTTTGAGAAGAGTGGTGAGAGCGTCGGAGCGTAGTTGTCCCATAATATGAGGGCGATAGTGTAAAGCGCTTCTATAATGTACCCTATAATACTTGCGACCTTTTGAGCCAGAAGATGCCGCACATGCCATTGTAGGATTGTTTGGAAGTGGGCCACTGTTAGGGATACTTGAGACCCTTTGGAACGATGCCATAGCAACCTTCATCTTAAGAGATAGATACAGCCGCCAGGTATTCAAATCGCTGATTCCGCCAAGAGAATATGCCCCAGGTATTCAACTGATTTCCGGCCAAAGAAACATTTCTTTTGATTGAGCTGAAGTTTGTTATCACAAAGCAGCTGGAGCACAAGCCTTAAGTGTTTCAAGTGAGAATCCCAACTGTTACTATACACCAAAATATCGTCGAAGAAGACTAAGACAAATTTCCGGAGATAGGGGCAAAAGAGATCGTTCATTACCACTTGAAATGTGGCGGGCGCATTGGTTAACCCAAACGGCATGACAAGAAATTCGTAATGGCCCGAGTGTGTCCGGAAAGCTGTCTTGGGGGCATGACAAGAAATTCGTAATGGCCCGAGTGTGTCCGGAAAGCTGTCTTGGGAGTATCAGCTTCAGCCACCCTAATTTGATAAAACCCGGACTTAAGGTCTAGTTTAGAGAAGACCTGAGAACCATGCAATTCGTCCAACAGTTCCTAGATAACCAGAATGGGATACTTATGAGGAATTGTAGATCGGTTTAGTTGCCTGTAGTCAACGCAAAACCGCCAGCTGCCATCCTTTTTCTTGACTAGGAGGACGGGACTAGAATATGGGCTGGAGCTGGGTTTGATAATTCCAGCTGAAAGCATATCATGCACCAACCTCTCGATCTCATCTTTCTTAATGTGGCCATACCTATAAGGTTTCACAGATATTGGTCCCTGACCTGGCTGAAGGGCGATCCTGTGATCAGTGGAACGACGAGGAGGGAGGCCATAGATTTCCTGAAAAACAGTTGGCTCTCAGAATCATAATTCTCTACCGTGGGGACACATGACATTGGAGGAGGATCTATGGACAGTTCCAGTAGGACTGCAGAGAAAGACACATCTGTGACCTAAGAGAATGATTTGGCGGAAATCGCTCCCCGGGTTAGAGATGGATCACCACATAATTCCACCAACTGATTTTGATGTAGGAACTTCATAGTAAGCTGCTGCCAATTCACCTGCACATCACCAAGAGTTTCCAACCATGCAACACCCAATATTATATCAAGACCTCTCAACGGAAATATAAAGAAATCACCAGAAATAGTGTAGGAACCCAATTGTAATTGTAAGTTGCTGCACACGCCGGAAGTTTTCTTTTCATGAGGTGGCCATCACCAAGCTTGACAAGGAAGTCAGTGGGTTCAACTGCCAAATTCAGTGTCGTAGCAAGATCCGAGGACACAAAATTGTGGCTAGCTCCGCTGTCCACCATGACTAATACTGAGTGAGAAGCCAGTAGAGCCATAATCTTCATAGTCTTGGGTTGAGAGAGACCATAGGCAGAACATAAGGAAAGCTCAAGCTGCTGGAAATGGGTTTCATTGAGGTTCACGGGCAAAGGTGTGAAGATATCTGAATCTAATTCGTGTAGGAGCCCTTCATCTGTGAGAGTTTCATGCTCTCCTCCTATTATTGCCCGTAGGGATTTGTGAGGACATTCATGAAGTGGAGAGTAAGGTTGTTTGCAATGAAAACAGAGCCCCTTCTCTCTTAATTCTTTGGTATTCTTTGTGAGAATAGTGCTTGAATCCACGGTTTCTGGGAGAGGGAGTGGAATTTTGAGGAGCAGGGAGAAAGGGTTGGCGAGAGGGAAAATCTGGAGGTCTGGAGGAGTGGGTTATGGTTTGAGTATTGGGTCGGGTCGAGTTTTGGGTGGGTGGTAGAGTTTGAAGTGGGGCGGGTGAGAAAAATTTAGGGCCCAGACCAAACTTACCTGGAGAATCGCTACTAGATGATCGCAGCGTGGGTTTCTGAGTATATGGTGACTGCAATTCTCGTTCAACCTCCAGTGCAACTCTCATCGCGCGATGCAGTTCCTGAGAATCAGAGGAACGTATTCTAACTCGGATGTAATTCTAACTCGGATTTCTTCTTTTAACACCATTTAGAAAAATATCCGCAATAGTTGAAAAATCTGAGGTCTGGAGTTTGTGCGGCTTGGGTAATGAATTCATCAATGAAGGTGGACACCGAGTTCAATTGTTTTGTGGCAGCAAGCAGCTCGTAGGGATTATCCGAATTTGAACCACTGTATTTGATGAGGAGTTGATGAGGAGTTCGATTTTGAGTTGGGTCCATGTGAGGTTTGGAGTGCGGCCTCTAAGCCATCGTAACCAGTGGAGAGGATGGTCCTTCATACCCACGAGAGCCATGGCAACAAACCGGTCTGGAGGGGTGGTTTGTAACTCAAAATATTGCTCAGATCTTGCAATCTAGCCGAATGGGTCAGTTCCGGTGAAAATGGGCATTTCGAGTTTTTGAATGTAGTTATGGGTTGAAGATGAGGAGTGTGGGTGAAGGTCGGTGGTGGTGAGTGGGGAATGGGAATTGATGGTAGCAGATTGATTGGTCTGGGTTTTGTGGGTTGGATGGTGAAGGAGGAGGATGTGTTAGATGAAGAAGCAGGGGATGGACCTGTGAGAAGAAGGTGTTTAAGCTCTTGGAGACCTTGTTGAAGCTCCGAAAGCTGGCGGGAATTATCAAGTCTGATAGAAGCAATAGAGTCTTCAATGGAGGCGACGTTCTTCTAGAGTTTCCACCCTTTGATCCATTCTGGTCTTGGGCATTCAGAAAAAATCCAAAGCAGGTCGGACCAAATGATAGAGATTAGAACGCAAGAACAGTACAAGAACAGTAAGGAGAAAACAGAGAATTGAAGGACAGAATTTGTAGTAGTAATTAGAAGAAGAAGAAAAGTTTTGAAGATAACCCCCCAAAAATTTGGGAGAAGTTAAACAAAATGCACTGTAAACGCCCCCAGGACTTGAGCCCCGAAGCAGATACTCTGCTCAATACACAAAGAGAATAAAGATGCCCTAATAAACATGAATTACTCTACATTATATATAGAAATCAAATTACCTAACAAACATGTTTGAGGCTGTCTCCAAGTCCCTTCCTTGCTGCACACCGCTCCCCTCGTTGCAGATTTATTCCTTCTATAATAAACCAAAACGGTTTTGCCATTACTGCTAACATATATATAGAATCATTCCTAACAAACATGTTGAGCTGTCTCAATCCCTTCCTTGCTGCACACCGCTCCCCTTCGTTGCAGATTTATTCCTTCTATAATAAACCAAAAACGGTTTTGCACTTGATGACGTGGCATTCCTATCAAGACTACTCATACATGGCTTGTCGTTAAACAATTTGTACAATAAAATTGTCACAAGGATTGTAAATTGAAAAAAATACACTTCTCTAATGATTTTGTTTTAGCAAACAGCTTCAAGCATGTATGTTTATAAATATTACAAGTGAGCTTGTTCATTAATAACTAAAGACCAGAGCTTACAAAATATTTACCAGAATGAACCAAAAAGTGAAGAAACTGTAATAACTGTATTTCATGAATTCAATTGGTTTTTAACCCAGCACCAAATCAATAGCACAAAGTGCCTTTAAAGCTAATTAAGACAGCCCCAAAAGTTCTATCCATATTTTTAAACTTTCAAGAGGTTGATGGTGAAAGTGCTTTATTCTGGTTCAGAGAGAGAGAGAGAGAGAGAGATAATGTTGTACCTTTTCAGGAAATCCAAACTCTTCTCAACTCCCAGCCGTCCAACATGGACTATTAATGGTTTCTCAGGTTCACCATTGCTGTTCAGAAAAAAAATAAATACATCATTCAGAAAAACTCATATGATAAGGTGTTATGGCTTAGGCATAAAGAATGAGTGTTGTCTTGCCTTAATCTCCATCGCATTTCCTGTGAGCGGAAACGAGGGTGGAAACTTTCAGAATCAACACCCTTATTCCAAAGGCGAATCCTATTAGCTGGAAAATAAACAAAACTGATCTGTTTAAAATAACGTTGAAGGAAATATTTGAGCAAAGAAATATTTATAAATGAAAAAGGTATTTGTTATAATGGGTACTAAAATGCCATAGAAAATTATTGAAAAACAAAAGTAGCTGGAAATTCGCGCACAGCCATACATACTGAATTTCTCTTAGATGAGAAATGAACTGTGGAAAGATGATCAGTAATTAGGTACTAGATGTTTGTGTTCACCTGCTGTCACCCTAGCCGCTTGGAGATCCCTCCCTATGGCAGCTGAAGGCACCAATGTAAGATCAGCTGCTCTATGAAGAAATTCTGATAACAAGGCAAATTTGTTGCTGGACTCAGAAATCTTAAAGCCTTTGACAAATGCATTGAAACACAACAAAGATATAAAACTCACATACTTATGATCAACCACATGGGTTTCACCAGCCAGCTAAAAGTGTACCTTGGGATGTATCTGCAAATGAAATCAAGAATCATGCTCAGCCATGGTTCACTACATGCCTAAAGAAATCTGGCCATATGTCTAAAGAAGCAGCATAAGTATGTGCATCCAAAAGTGTTAAAGATCAAAGAAGAATCAGACTCACACAGGGACATGGGTGTGATAAGACATCACAATGGGGACGCACAATAATTTCGCAATAATGAGGGCACCGAAAACCTTCAACACAGATTGCAACTGTCAGCCATCTATTTCCAACCAATTTCTGATATTCACTCCATCTTTGAATTTAAAACTTACCATTATCCCTGGTGAAGATGCATGTATTATATCAGGCTTAAACCGTGCAACCTCCGAAATTATTCTTGGACTGAGTGCCAGAGAAAGTGGAACCTTCTGGTACCAGGGGCAGGGAAAACTGTAAAGAGGGGGAAATTTGAGTTTTGTAAGAGTAAATCTGTCTTTTAAGACCAACATTACTGACAAAATTTCAATAACAATACTAATATTTAAATCATGCAATTGTACTATGACTACACTAGAGTACTCTATACATAAGAGCAATTTGAAATAGTTAATACAATATAAATGTAGCAGTATATTACTTATATGCCAAAAGAACAAAACAACCTCCAACTTGACAATATATTATAAAAATGGATCCCTACAATTTGCACCTATAGAAAATATTTCACTTAAATTATGGGTAAAGGGGAAAAACAGCTTAAGGTTACTATAGCAACCTCCGTGATCCAATCAATTTTGCTCCATAAAACTCCTGAGGTACTCCTTCATGTGTTGTCACGACCATCACCTATCCCATACATCAACAAAACAATTTATTAGCTATAAAATGCAATTTGCAATGTCAACAGAGGAAGCAATGTTCGTCGAAACAGAAATTTGCTGCTTTCTTGATAGTTAGACTGGAAACAGCAAATGGAAAATGAGCTGAGATCAAACATTTTGCCATGGTAAGGTGATTATTTGATAATTGTTGTTGAAGAGTTTTTAACTCTGAATTAATGCTGGTAACCTAAACAAAAATAAATAGCATCCCCAAGGGAATGCCACAATGGTTAGAACATAGAATTCCAAAAGGATATCTTATGTTCAAAATCAATTGCAGTTGGGTGAGGGGTTCCACTTGATGGGAAAGGACTATCCTTTCTTATGTGACCAAGCTTTCCCAATAAACTAAAATTGAAAATACTAGAGAGACAGAATTTGTACCATAAAGTAGGCAACAAGCAAACTATCCCCACCATATACTCAAGCTTGAGAAGCAATGGCAATTTCCAGCATAGTAGGGATATGTTTGGATTGCAAGGGATTTAAAACAAGTCATGCCCATTACTGGTGAAGACATTAGAAAATTACCTCATCCCCCATTTCACGTAAATATCTGATAAAATTCTGGAACCGATTTTTATACCCTGACACATATCTGCAAAACAAAAGGAATTAGATAACAACTAATGAGTGCCCACTAAAAATATTGAGAATTCAAAACATAAACTGTGTAAAACATTAACAAACAAAAAAACCAGGGTGATATATGTGTTACACTATAAGGCATTCCTATGATTGATCCATTTCAGCCAAGTTCATGCATGTGTCTTTTTTTTTTTTCCCCTCTCTATTTCTGAAGCAACTCAAAATGGTTGGGAATCACTAATCAAATACAAGCTACAATACTATAGTATATAATTACATACTCCAACTTAGTAGTCGTAATATTTTAAGTTGTGTTTGGATATATTGAAAGCTAGGAGAAAGATCAAAAGTGCACATGGGAGCAATCATCTGTAATAACGTGGGCAGATAGCTTAAATTATGGGAGGAACTTTGTACCTGATGAATTTTAGAGATTGTTGTGTCTACAACTATATGGTACATTTTGATGCTTAAGCTAATACTAATCAAATTCCCAGTACAAACAGAACAGCTGCCTCACCATTAGGCTAATAGATCAAAACTTTAAACCTTCAAAACCTTGAAGAAAAATATAACAGAACAGAGCAGACACAAAATAATACTAAAAAGCCAATACTTAGCTGGAAAAATCATTAAAGAGGAACAAACGGGTATAGTAGAATAACATCAATCCAAACTGACCAGCTAAGAATAAAATTGACAAAATATATCATATCTCGAAACATGTCAGTCAAGCACTCCTAATAAAGGATAAATTTCACATACCAAGAACCCACTGATTACATAACAATATACCAACGAGTAAAACATTAATTTTATCATAGAGCATTCAGCTAAGTAACAAATCAGAAGCCAAGTAAATGTGGAGCATATTCCATATAAAATCACAAACCAAAAAGGCAAAGACTATAAGTGTAGATAAAACATACTTAATCAGATTATTCTAAAATTGAAGGAACCGCCTAATTAGATGGATCCATATTTAAAAACATCTGCAACTGGCAGAGCACAGTGAAAAATGCCACATTGGCAAGAGCAACCTAAAGGTACCTTTCCTATAGAAAAACATCAGTCAAAAAAAAAAAAAAAATCAAGCATATAACTTCTAATTTTACTCTAGAACCATGAAATTTATCTAATCAGACACAAGCCAGTAACAGAAAAATCGAAGCCAATGGTTGGTCATACCCAAAAGAAAGATTCACAAAAAGAATTAACATATAATTGAACCCATCACTCCAATATCTTATTGAAAAAAAATCAAACATAAACCAAGACAGCAAAATATTTGCCGGCGCTGGGGGATGGTGTTGGAGGGAAGAAAGGACTCACGCAAATGGAGAAGGTTCAACAAAGAGAGCAATGCGCCGTGGCCTCGCATTAGTCTCGGCATCAAGCAAAGGAGGAGGATTCTCCTCCTCTTCTTCTTCTTCTTCTCTAACCTCCCTAATAGTCATATCACTATTATTATCTTTAGCTCTAACAAGAGGGTATCTTTTTAGCTTCCCAGATTCCCGATTGCAAGAAATAGTAAGGAGTCGTGTCCTAAAAGAAGAAAAACTTAAAGGACAGGAAGATACAGAACAACAACAAGAAGAAGAGCTAAAAGAAGAAGACAGAGAGGGAAAAGTGACGGTGGGGAGAAAGGGAGGAGAGAGAGCAGGATTTATAGAGAGAGATAAAGAGGTTGTCATGATAAGGCAGGACAGTCTAATATAGTTGGCTTGGGTATTTGTTGAATGATTAATTTAGCAGTAGTTGCTTATTACTTGTAGAGTTGTAGTTGCGTTAAAAAAAGAGAGAAGAAATTTTTGAAAAAGGAATCTTGGAAGGAACAAACGCGATGGATATTCTCCAAAAAGGCGGGTCTCACTGTCTGTGCGAGGAATAAGAAGGCATCAAGAGGTAGCCATGTGAGTATATGCCCATTTTCCCCGTTTCGGCTCTCTGGCAATGCCTGTGCTGCCTTCTCTGTTTTTTACTGTGTGTTTGCTGGGACCTCCTTACAGGTCAAAATTTTTAAATATCTTTCTCCTTTCTGTTTATCTTTCTAATTTTTAGTGAAAATTATTAAATAATTAAATAAATACACTTCCATAAGTATTTTCTGATTTTAATAATCCATTTGGAATAAATGAATTATAATTATAGAATTCATTTATAAATGAATTTTACTTAAAATTTATTTACGAATAAAATTATTATGTTTAGTGTGCTACAATTTAAAATAAGAAATTCTTGAATTCTACAAAATTACGTTCAGAATAAATTCTTAAATAAAAATTTATTTGTCTTTATTTCTTATAACACCCTTGATATAATAATTTAATAAAAATAAATAACAAATACCAATTACATTATTATGTATAATATAATAGCTTGTCATTTTTTATTAAAATATAAATAATAAATTTCATATAAATAAATACACTAATATTCCATGCTAATTAAAATTATATAAACAGTAACATTTATCATAATAATTTTTTTAATAGATGTAAACATTTTTGTTGATTTAGTAATTAATTTGAAAATTAAAAAATATTAAGAATGTTATTATTGTTTTTAATTGCATTTGGAAACATTCGCTCTAGACTTCAAAAAGAAAAAACAAAGTCATTATTAGTTTGAAATGCATAGTAGCTACAGAGTTTCAAGTTAATCTCAATTTATGATTGTTTTTTTTTTTTTAATTGTTATATCCGTGTTAATTGATAAGCTTTTTTTTTTTTAGGATTAAATTATTTTTGTTGTTGTTTCATAAAAATGCAATTTTATAATTATGATAGATTGTAATAAATTAAATTTTATATTTTTGTTGTTGTTTCATAAAATGCAATTTATTAATTATGATAGATGTAATTATAATAAATTATATATATATATATATATATATTATATATATATATATATATATATATATATATTATATATATATATTATCTTTAAGTTTTATATATCTTTAAGTTTTTATATGTACAATATACCTAATAACATTGTTTTTTATTTTTTTATATTCTCTCACAAATAAGTTGATTATTATTATTATTATTATTATTATATATGTGCAAATATATGTTTTTTTTTTAAATCGGTTTGAAATAAATGAATTTCACAACATTTTGTGAAGTGTGTAATTAAGCTTTGTTTTTGTAAGTTCTTCTCTGCTATGAAAATCGTGCATAATAGTATACAATGCACTAGCTAAAAGATTTAATTTAAGTAGTTCGTATGTATTTAGGTTTCAAACTAAATATATATCAATTAATTATTGTTAGAACATTTAGAAGGATTATCCAATGAAAATAAAATGCTAAAAAAAAGAAAAATGTTTAAAAAATAGAAAATTAAAAAAAAAAAAAAAAGAAAAAAGGAAAGCCAAATCAGCTTTGTGATTTTCTTCTTCTATTTGCTTCGGGATTATCTATATCTATATATATATACCTAACCAGTGCCTTTCATATTACCAAAAAAAGAAAAACTTCCTTTCAAAACTTCCGTTCAATGAGAATTTTTTTTCCGTCATATACGTGAGATATGAATTTTCATCATCTATCTGTATCGTTGGATATTTGTCACAATCTAAGTATATAAAGTAAAATTCGATGGAAAAAAACCACGTGACAAGTAAAATTCCGTCAATTTAAGATTTAAGATGAGGTGAATCTGGGTTTGAAAAATATGACTAACTTGTCTAGAAATGAGAACATTTTATTCACGAGTACAAAAAAAAAAAAAACAAAAATAAATAAAAAAGGCTAAACTGAGAACAATGCTTAAAATATTTATATTTTTATTGATTTGATTGATGGACGGGTCTAAGGTCTGGTTCTAACCAAACATTATCGTTAAAAAATAAAACCTCACATCCATAACCTCTATTCTATTAAAAAGGATAAGGTGAGAAAAATATTTAAGATATTTTTATTTTTATTAGTTTGGGTCGTGGATAGGCTATAAATCGGGTCTAAGCAAATATTATGGTTGTGTCCGTAATAATTTTTTTAGATAGCTTTTAAACATTATTTTTTTATAGTGTTTTATAACATTAAGTTTAAAATGGTTTTTAAAAATTCACATAGCATTTTGTAAAAAGTTAACTTGTTTTAAAGATTAAAATAACATTTTGTAAAAAGTTAACCCATATATCATCCTTCAACCACTCAAATAACAATTCTAATTCTTCTAAAAAAAAAAAAAACAATTCTAAACATATATGGAGCAAGTCTACAATATTTTTAAATACTGAAATATACACAAAAAGAAAAAAGATAAATTTATTAATTAGATAAAATCTCAATTTGTAAATAATAATTCAAGGCAAATATTTTGTGGTAGCATAAGAATTAGGCCATATGCATATTTTGGACCCGGTACGTTTTCAAAAAAATTCTGCGGCCTTTATACTTTCTGAGGTCCTATAAGGTATCTCTATTTATTTTTTTTATATTTAATGGGTACCTATCATGGGGAGATGAAGTGCGTGCAACTCATCCCTCACCTACAAAAATGTGATGACATGTGAGAGAGAGAAACACATCATATACCGCATCAGATTAAATGGTCAAAAATATACATTTGGTCAAAGCCTTCCAAGCCCCCCTCCTTCGTTCAAACCTTCCAAAGAAGTAGGAAACTGTTACTCTCCTACTCCTCCACCACTGACGCTGCCACTGGAGACGCCACCATCTCCTCCTTCCTCCACCACCACCGCTTCCGATGTCGAGGCCGCCATCTCTTCCTCCCTCATCTTTCGTCTTCCTCTTATGCTTCTAAAACCCATCAAATTGGGAGAAAGGAAAATAAATCTTCTTTTACTTCTTAAAAGCATTTTAATTTATTTTAATCACCTCTAGAGTACAAAATCAAAGAAGAGCAAAACTTGATCTACTATAAAAAGAAAGCTAAACTAGAAAATAAAAAAAAAAGGGTTATTGTTATTCAAGATAAAAAGGAGAAGAAATGGTTTCAAGGTGCAAAGTAAGAAAGAGGTACCCATTTTTTACCATCATCACCACTTTTACCTCCCACACCTCCACCTCCTCCTCCACCGATGAGTCCTAGATCTGACATATGAACATTGATAACAAGCTTCTTCACTACCCATCCTCATCCGCCGCCACCATCTCAGTCATCAAGCTGAGACTTCTGAGATTCCTTTGTTCCACCATCTCCTTTGGCATTATGGTCGGTTACTGAGGAGGAATGTGAAGAGGTGACAACATGGCAAATAAACAAGCTTTCACTCTTTCCACACTTTTAGCGTGGCGAGATACATATTAAATATGAAAAAAAAGTAAATAAAGGTACTTTATAGGACCTCTGCAAAATATAAGGGACAACAAAATTTTTTTAAAAAAGTACATGGTCCAAAATATGCATTTAGCCATAAGAATTATCTGTCCAATTTGGACCATAAGAATTATCTGTCCAAGTCTTTGGAAGTTATGTCGCAAGATGAAAGTGTGTTGAACATGTGAGATTGAATAAATAGTACCATTTGGGCACATCGCATGCTTGTCCTTTGATGGACATTATATTTATATATCACCTTTTGGTCCGTCACTGTAGAAATGGTCCTATCCACAACTCTCCACTTCCCATTTTGGTTTTAATTATGGTATCACTTTATGTTATGTGTATTACAGTGATGAACTCGGATTTTTTATTTTTTTTCAAAAAAAAAAAAAAAAAAAAAAAAAAAAAAAAAAAAAAAAAAAAAAAAAAAAAGACTGGAAACGTCAAACTAATGCGGAAAGGATTCTTAGACCCAAACAACATTCCCAGTCCAGTGCACTAACAGAAGCCCAAGGCCCAAAGTCCTGACTATAGCGTAGATTTTTTTACGTCAACTTAGGTAAATTCAGTCGTCAACTAAAACGTTATAGTCTAACATATAAATACAGCGCTAGTGTTAAAACCGTCCATGCGCGAATTTGTTTAGATATAATATTATTTAAGTATTCGTTTTCGAGCCCGTTTAAAATTTTATTATCCATATTCATCTAAAATCGACTCAAAAATACTTATTATTTTATAATTGTGCTAAACAATTTAAGAGACTTATCATTTAAGACAAAATTTTCTGCTTTTATATATTACTCTCTTCGTCCCATTTTGTTTACTTGTTATTCCTTTTTTGAAATCTCCAAATATTTGCAACGTTTCTAAATTTAGACATATAAATAATTATTTTTCTCATAACAACCTTTATAATTATTCATGAACGAAGAACTTTTAGTATGTTAATGAGTGATTAAGGATAAAGAAGGCAAAATAACTTTTGTTAACTAAATTCTTAATATGCATGTTTTGTCAAACCAAACAAATAAAATGGGACGGAGGGGTATTATATAGATTTGATGTTTGGGGTTAAAATAAATAATAAATAAATAAGGAAATGAGTTGTTTTTTTTTTTAGTTGTTTTTTTTTTTCTTTTGAAAAAAAAAAAAAGGGTGGTTGTTAATTGTTGATTTGTTAGAAAATGACAACAGAGAGGCATTCGTTTCTATAAAAAAAATCTGAGGATCAGTATTTATGCCACTGGATATACTTTTTTATTTTTAACTATTTTAATAACGTGGACGTCTCTCACTAATAATTATTCATCCAACCAATGCTAATTAGCAAATTAACTTCGTTAATATTGATAACTGAGGCGTGTTTAATTAAGTAATGAAGATTTAATATTCGCTGGCTTCATTAATTATATTTATCTAATTATCTTGATCCAGTGGCACGTGGTTTCTTTTTCCAATTTTGCTCAGAAAAACAAAAAAAAAAAAAAAAAAAAAAAAAAAAAAAAAAAAATAAAAAAAAAAAAAGTAAGTAGCGTTCTTCAGATACTTGCAAGTAAGCAGAAAGAGCAATAGATGAATTGTAAGTTGTGCGAAAGGAGTTCGCGAATTATTTTAAATCCTTTCTAATATGTAGATTTTATATAGGGAATGATACCAGTCAACAGTATTAAAAAAAAAAAAAAAAAAAAAAAAGGCTCCCCTCAAAAACACGTTCCTAGTACTTATCTTTAAAATAGTTATATTAATTCATGTATCATCCTAAACTTGAAACGTATTATTATGGATAACGTGGAATGATCAAATGAATCGACTCGAATTGACCCGAGCTCCGACGAGCTTAAGCTAAACTAATTTAAACATAGTCAAGATTTAAATGTGAAATTAAAATTTACTTGTCATTGAATAAAATTTATCGCGATAATAATTATTTAATTTGTATGTTTCAAAGTACCTGAACTACAGTGTGCAAAACCTCAGTTTGGCGTTGCTTTATTGATTATTCAAACAATTCAAAATGTTTGTGATGTCTCAAATTAACTACTACTGGTGGCAGTGATAGGCTTTAAGGAAAGACGAAATGAGAGATTTAGGGTAAATTACTAATTTTCACTTCATTTTTCTTTTCATTTATTTAGATGGCTTTTGTTGTTCAGTCCGATCAACATATCTCTACAAAATATTTCTCTGCCTTCTTTAATAGCTTTACGTTGCATGTATGGTTCTTGATGTTTTTTATTATTAATTCTTCATTAGATTTATATATGTATGTGACGTTTTTTCCTTCATCTTCCTGTCAGATTATATCATCGGTATATCTGCAATTCTTCTTAAACATTTTCCTATCTTTTTTCATAGTTTTCTGTTCAACACTAATTGTTGGTATTCTCAATTCTTTATAAATTTTACGAGTTTCATCTTAGTTTATCATTTATCTGAAATTATTACTATTTGGTTTTATTTAGTATATATATATTTATGAATAATAAAATAAAATGTATATTACATAACCGTGCAAAAAGCTGTCTTCTTTTACAGTAAGAAATCACAATAACCTGTAAAATGAGCTGTCAATTAAATTACATAATTCCCTGAATGGAATTAATTTTTGACATAGCATAATATATTAATTTATAAATGTGTATTTTTTTTCTATATATCACTCTTGTTCTATAATATTTGGCATGTTTAGAATTTCACGCTCCTTAAGAAAATCATTAAATTTGTTTAAATTATAATAAATTATTGAGTAAATTGACTATATTATCCTTGCTTTAATTCTAATTCTCTAAAAAAAATATTAAATTAAAAGAATAATTACTGATTATATATAAAAAATAAATATAAAAAAAAATATTTATTAAAACCACAGTGTGACGAGTATTTTATAATAATCTATTTTCTCTTCCGAGATCATTGTGAAAAGAAGGTAATGTACATATTTTTCTAGGTTTCACACTCGACACTCCTGTGTAAACAGCCCCACTAACAGCTCATAGCCAATCCCTATAGGAGACAACACGACAAACAGGCAAACCTATTAATTGACGTTTTGGAGGTTTTGACAGCATATAAATTTTGCTAGAGTGATACTTTTCATTGTTTTTCATTGCCATGTGGAAAAGAAAGCTAGTTTAAAATAATGTACGTGACTTCAATAATTCCAAAGTTTTGCTGTATAGTTGATTGCCACGTAGTTACTAAGTTTGGCTCAAATACATTAATAAGGATTTCAGTTTTTCAAATTATACTATTTAGTTTTTGAATTATAATTATTATTATGAGATTCAACGATTAGATTTTGCATTGCATTAACAGACTGAAATATCAAAAGTAATTTTGAAGATAATTATTATTATATAATCCTTATCGTTTACTGAAATATACTACTAAATACCTCAATTTTCATAATTTTACATTATTCAATCCCTATATAGTAATTCTCCTTAAGGATGTTTTAAATATTTAATAAGTACTTAATGAAAAAATTAATCATTGGACTTAATAGTATAACAAAATTTTAATGTAGTGACTAAATAGTATAGTTTGAAAAATCTAGGTCTTTACTAGTGTATTTGATAAAATTATAGGGACTATATAATAATTGCCCCTTCACTTTGTTTAGATTTGATTTAAACTATGTTCATCTGAACTTAGTGATTCAGGATCATGCACTCTTAACTATTATTTATTTAGTCAATATTCGTCGATTCGAACAGTGACCATGAATAATACCAAATAAATATCCTGTAGCATATATATATTATATTCTATCAACTCGATCGCGTATTTCAAATCAAGATTATGCTTTTTGAAAAGAATATTATGTTTTTTTTTCTGTTCTTTGTATAAGCCGTTTATTGTTAAATTTCTGATAACAAATATAGAAACTACTTTCTTTTAATAAATAAAATGAAAGCTAAAAAAAAAAAAAACACAGAAGGTATATAAAAGAGATATGTATCCTAACTTAAACTTGAAAAAGGAGAAGATAAACTAGACAAAGAATAGTAATATACTCATCTCATCTATATGTTATCCAAATATCAATAAGGTTAGTACAAAAGAATTTCTGTATAATACCAATTTCTATAAATGACAGAGTCAACTGAATCAAAGTTGATGCTAAAGCTAATGATATTACGATAACATAACCACGTGCTACCCCCAGCTTTTATATATACATATATTTTTTTTATTTTTCTTGTTGATTACTTGACCAACCAAGAATGCAATTCCTATATAAGAGAGAAAGGAGACATAAAACTGGGGCCTTTTAGCTCCCCAGTCAAAAAAACCTTACCAGCATTCTGATTTTTTCAACAGTAATTTTCTTCTGCTAAAGTGACAAAAACGAAAGGAAAGGAAAGGAAAGGAAAGTCATTGGGTTTGTTGTTCATATTTCAGAAATGGAGAACCCCACTGTTCCATATTCAAATAGATTCCCTCTAAAATGGACCATCATGATCATCACAAGTATTCTTTTTTATCTTAGTAACAGAATCAAGAAAAGAAGAAAAATAATGGGTCCCTCTCCCCACCTCAAAAGAATAACTGATAGGAAGAGTATCATTTTTTGTCTCTCCCTCTTTGTTCCATCTTCCTCTTGTTTCCTTCCCCTCCTCTCTCTCTCTCTGTCTTTTTTTCCCTTTATTTTTCTTTTTTTTTTCCTCCCTATTCTCTCCTATAAAACTCTATCTTTGCATATATGTAAGCATATAGTGAAATTTAAACATGCAAATTCTATGCTTCTAATATGACTTTTATTTTAGAAAATAGCATAATAAGCAAAAAAAAAAACTAATTCAAAAGCTGTTGAAACAGGGCCGAACTAAACAAGCGTGAGAGTAATAGCATCTATCTAGATATAACTAATTAGTACTATTAAGCTATTGAAAATAAAATAGTAAGCTACCTGTTAGATTATCCCAGGAGTCAAATATACCACATGCATGGCTCATGCACGTATATACATTAGGTCTGTAGCTATAGTTAGTCTCTCTGCGCGTGAAGCAAGCTTGGAAAACAGTCAACCTTATCAGTTCTGTATTCCTTATTTCAATGATAAGCCCTAGTCCAATTTTTCATTTTACCTTTTATCTTTACTGTCTTTTTTTATTATAATAATAACAGCCATTATTTTTATTTTAAATATTTTCCCCTTCCCTTCTCTTTATGTCACATTAATAATTCATCAATAAATACTCCATACACTCTTACCAACTGCCTCTTCTTCCTTGTTCCAAAATTTCTCTCTGATCAGAAACAATCTCTCTGTTCAACAATGTCATGTAAGGCAAGTAAGAGAGTGAGTTTCAGTCCTGATGTCCATGAAAAGCCAATATTTCATAAAAATGAAGGCGGAATTAGAGTGACAGCAAACAGAAAGAGGGTTACCGGGATTTTCAGCTTTAGGCTACACAGAAGCTCAAAATTTTCACCGGCAAGACTACTCAGGCGACTCGGTGCTAAGGTAGTGAGAGCTGTTCGTTTCATCTCCATAAGAAGGAAATCTTCGCGGAAAGTTTCATCAGCTAGCTTAGCAAGATCAAGATCGCTTGCAGATGCAATAGATTCACAAAGAGCTGAAGCTATAGAAGATTGTATTGAGTTCTTGAATTCTTCCTCCTCTTTACAGAGGTCAAATTCAGTTTCTGCAAATTCTTGTTAGAAATTTCAAAATCATGGATAATAGAGTAGTAATATGTAAATGAAAGGAAACAAAATGTCCATGATTCATTGTCATAACAAGTTTATGATTATGCAAATCACAACAATATATCAAGAGGAAATCATCACTTCACAATACAGGTATATACAGGTTAAAGCTGTAAGTTGAAAGGACAGTAATTTTCATTCAATGTAGCATCACATTCTTGTGAAAGTCTAACACACGACATAAATTTCATGTATGATAACTCAACATTATACAACTAATAGAAACAGACCACTCCAAGGGTGGGGCAACCCTAGGTGGTTGAGCCCATCCAACACTCGAAAGGTAGGGTCACTATCACAGCAATGACACCAAAAGCTTAGAGAATATCCCACTTGGTGTTACTTTTTTATTTTTCTTGAACTGCACTTCCAATTCACTTTATTTCTATTGTTTTTACTCCAATGGCACAGCCCAACTTGCACTAGATACTCAAATCACAATAGGCACACGAGTCACAAGACTTAAAAGAAGAGGGAAAAATTCTGCAATGTCATCATTCATACCATTTAGCTAATATAATTGTAAGTTACACAAAATTGTCTCATGTACATATTCCAGACAAATATGAAAAATATATAAACTGCCAACAACTTAGACACAATAAATAACAAATCATCATGAGAAATAGTTCTTAGGACATAATAATCATTGTATGTCTGCCAGTAATATGCAAGTCCAACACCCTTTGAAAATTGTTTAGCTCCTGTAAAGGGAAAAATATTGAAATGCAAGTTCAAGAATCCAAAGAGAGTTTTTCAAGCTCTCGGATACCATGATTAGAAGCTTTCTTCATTTCAAGAGCTCTCTTATAAGGAGGGGCAATTGGCGGTTGTACAGGATCTAAACTCTGATAAGTGCCCTCAGCAACTTTTGGTAGCGGATATGATCGGTCAGAGTCGTACCCACTGAGGTCCCCACAAGCCAGAAATGGGATATACACCTTATTCGGTCCTTCCAACCAACCACTACCGCAATCTGTAATGTCTCAAATGCAATTACCACAAAATTATTATTATTTTTTTTTTGATAATAAATTACCACAAAATTATTGAAAATCCAGCAATGAAAAACAAAATATACTTCAAAGACCTTTAGAAGAATCAGTAACCAACAATTTAACTATATTGTATAATACCGTGTACCTACCACAAACTAGAGGCTGAACACAGAATAGATTAAAAAAGAAAAAAGAAAAAGAAAAGAAAGATTCTGATAAATGATTTCATTACTCTAGAAGATTTTAAAAAGTGTTATATCTTTATAAATATCGAAAAAGGTACTTTTTTAAGTCTTAGCCAAACGGATGGCATTCCCTCAAATTAAATTGGAAAGCATCAGGCTATAATAAGACAAACTGCAGAGTAGGGTGGCAGCTAGCACTGATCATGCAAAACCAATTCAACGTTCAACATTCCCTTGATGGATGATTGCTTATTCATTCTGTGCCTGCAATTCCACTATTATTTCCAGAAAAGTTATGTGTTCAATCATTTATTCTTTACGGCAAAAGGAAATTAAATAATATAAGCCACAAACTTTGCTAGTTCTGCATCAGTTGTCCCATAGAGGATTAAAATACGAAAAAGCTTTATGATATATTCTTTGCTTTGTGTGATTGGTCATGAATTGCAAAACATTTGACATTTGTCACATCATTCGGAAGATGTCTCTGTTTATAATCCGCCAGAAAATATAATTATTCAAAAATAGAATAGAGCACTAAGCAAAAACAACAGTTCATATGGAAGTACATATAAATGCACATGTACATAATACATAAAATAATAATTTAAATTCACATATGAAATAGTTAAATTACCTAGATCATCCATGCCTGAGGGGCTTCCCACCTTTTCTAGCAGACGATGCAAGTCTTTTGGATTAAATCCCCCAGGAGGGGAATAATTTTCACAAACTGCAAATGCCTCTGCATTAGAGATGATAATAATGTTAGCATTTAGGCATTTCATCCTGTATTGTGCACAGCATGTAAGATCATCTACTGGTTTCATGCCCATCACAACTGATCGCGTTGCCCTGATTGATCCACCTCCACTGCTTCGTGGATAAGAATGGTGGTTCCCACTTAAAATTGCCCAAAATATCCTTTCACTCAGTTGCATCTACCTTAATGGTTTTTGGATTCCTAGAAAGATCTCTCTTGCAAAAGTATGCATGTGAAGCAAGAAAAATCATGGAAACCAAGAATTTTCTAGTTTATTAAGAATCAACTTGAATTGAGTTTCATAATTTATGTTGGACAAGGAAAATCATTTTGTTCACATGGTTATCTTATATATTGGCAGCATTGCAGCAGCTCAGTCATATAGAAGTTTTTTAATTCAGTCAACAGATTCAATTGTACATAGAACCATATAGGTGGATTACCAAGTAAAAAAGAAAGAAGAAAAAGAAAATACCTATGCTGGAATTGCGGCTACTTTTTGGTTTTGCAAAAGTTACAACAGGGAAAAATAACTTCAGCTGCGACAGAGAAACAAACAACATAAACAGTCTATTTGAGTTCAGCTAACAACAAGAACATTTCATCTGATCATGGTCTTCAAGCACATTGACGAACCAAATGAACAAAATTGAAAAGGGAGGAAGCTGAGGTGGGGACATCCACTAGCATTTCCAATTATATGCAGAGGAAACTGATCATTCAGTTACCAATCTGCAGTCAACAACTCCACATCATATAAGTTTAACACTTTACATCTGGCATCTATAGACCTTACCAAGGAGCTTATTTTCCATCCCAGAGAAAAAAAAAAAAAAAAAAAAAAAAATTATAACAAGCACTTTAAGTACCTGGCAGTAGAGAAGACTTGTATCTTTTCCTCGAAATATCTTTGCAATAAACTTCCCACCTTCCCTGAGTACGTGTGTGACAATTGTCAAACCCTGCAAACAGTATGATTCAGCACGGATACTTCCAGTCTAATTAAAGAAACCAGAAAAAGATTCACAAACAACTCAGGAACAAACACATGAATAAGAGACATGGGAAAAACCATAAGGTGGAGAACTGCTAGATGCTTTAGTAACTGAGCCGTTGGGAAAAAAAACAACACGCATTACATTCTTCTCAAACATTTAGTTCAAGGTAATGATCGGTAAATTCAATTGCAGGCCTGCAACTCACTTTGGGTTGAGCAGTCTCTAAGAGATATTACAATAGAACAATATCTCTTGATTGAAACACTATGAGAACCAAATCATTATCATTGACTCAACACTTTTGTTCTGTTTGGAACAGTTTCCTCCTCAATCAAATCATCAACTTGTATAGTCAGCACATATGAAAATAGATTTCATTGCTGGCCACCTTCAACATCAGGCCATCAGCCAACAGCCACAGTACTGAAAAGTTTTGGAACTAATTCTGGTGAGATTCAAAATAATAAGCGAGAAGTCCATGATTCTCAAGATTATTTAGGATTAACATAGACATGCAAGTGATAACTGTAATGAAGCAACAGGGAAGACCTACAAAAGTGAATGAGGTAAACCTTATAAGAAAACATTATCATGATTGCCAATGTCTAATATTTGGAATTAAAAAAAAAAAAAAAAAATCAGCGAGACTGTAATGTGGTGCAGATATTTTCATGTGCATCACAGGTATTCAGATTCCTTCACGAAAGGAAAGTACAATGGTTAAGCGAGTAGGAGTGAACATCCTAGACCAAGGAATATAAAACTCTTACAGCTAGTATGAGTTGGGACTGTACAAATTCATCCATGTCATGAAGACCAGTGACTGCAAAATAGAGCAGAATAGAGCAAGCTTAGGAAGTATAAATAATACTTCACTGTATATTAACCAAACAATAAGGTAATTAACCATTTAATATGAAGTTATAATTATAGTGGTTATTTTACCATCTGGTGCACCATCACACACAACCAGGTCAGCCTTGCAGCCATCAAAATGTCTAATGACCTGTAAAAAGAACAACGACCAATGAAGAACCATCAATTATGTAACAATGACAAAGCAAACTGACATATTTATCATACTAAAGTATAAGTATGCACATATCAAAAGAAACAAAATGATAGATAAAAGTGGAAGAGCATTCAACAAATCCAACTAACCGGCAGAGCCTGAGACTAATTATATAATCATTCTACTACTCTATAACATTTGGAGCTCATATTCCCAATGTTTTCTTTTTAGCATTCCTAGAGCCATTTAAGCATGAGTCCAACACATGCTACTCATCCAAGAAAGGAGCCTTTGGAACTGTACACACCAATGATAGACTATTACCCAGTGATTCAATAGACAGCATCAGTACAGAAAAATGATCCCTTGGGGAGAGTAAAAGTAACAACGTCTGCTCATGAATGTTCGATTATATTCTAATCAAATTGAGATAATTCAATTAGGAACCATTAAATTTAAAGCAAGAGTGAACTAGACTTTCTACACAAGGTGAACAATGCATGTGAATATTGAAGTAAATAACTATCTTCAGCTCCTCACCACTTCAGCTGTTCGGGCATTCGTGATATCACCCTGTACTTGGATAACACCTTCGATTGGAGCCATGGGTTGCAAGTCAATAGCCACAATAAGAGGAAGATCACCATCACTGCAAATCACAAATGAGAAAGTACCATCACATGAGTAAAGAATAACTTTAATTTTTTCTTTCATTTTTTGGCAATAAAAGTTTTAGTTTTAAATATTTCTGTAACACAATGATATGTGAGGACTTGTGTAAAAAAAAAAAAAAAAGAAAAAAAGAAGAGTATGTTTACTCTTTAGCTTATATAAGCAGCTAACCAAAACATAAATAAACCCATTACCTGTTCAAGAATATGACTTCAGTCATGCTCACCTGTGTTCATATTTGTTCATTTATTAAACCAGTCGTAAGTTTCTGCTTATATCATTCATTTAACTTTACAAATGAAATATATAACTTCTAGCAAGCTCGTTCTTTTGCCTACACCTTTGTGCAATCACGAGACACAAATAAACTAATATAGTATACTTGACTCAATTAACATGTAAAACAGATAACAAGCAAGTAAAACGTCAATTCACATTTAAAAGAGATCATCTATAGGCAAGCCTTTGTCATGCATGCCAAATGTGCAAGGTTGTGGCCAATCTAACTCTCACCTGAAAAAGCGGAAGTTTCAAAATTAAGACGAGCTACAGCTTCAATGTAACTCAAGCAACCAGATTCAGATATGATAGATCTCATAATGTACATATCCTCAATCTCTTTCAAATTTTTCAACAGGCAAGGCATTATTAAAGCACTTAATTTCGAGTGGAGGCTTAACCCCAAGATTGATATGTGGCCTTCTATACATTTTCATTTAAACATGTAGTTCAAAGTTAACAGATTGAAAATTAACCTTGAATCTTGTGAAAGCTTTGCTGGCAGATATAATTTACGACTCAAAACCTGCAAATGAGAAGCACCAAAAAATAGTCAAGTTGCTTTATGCACGACCGCCTCAAACAGCATAACTGTAAGGTAAATATAACATATGATATGATGGAATATCAATAAAGATTTACTGCTGCCAACATGCCAAAATGAAGAGAGTTCCAAACTTCATTCAGTAAGACGAAAATTTTTGGTACCCAGAATGAAAGAGTTTTAGCTGACAATAGGGATAGAGAAGATAAGAGGGCAAGAAAAAGGCTGATAGTAAACCACTGAAATTGATTTATTTCATAGCTTACAGCTAAAATATCATAGAAAGAGAGATACTGTTTCATCTTTCCATATTCAGGTTTTTAAATAACAATGATATCATGGATGAACATCATTCAAATGAAATATACCTGACTCCAGCTACCTGGCGCAGCACATAAATCTACTACACGCTTCACCCCTACAAATCAAATCATGATCGGAAAACAGAAAGAGAAGAACAAACCGCTACCTGAATTAGCATATTCTATTCATTGTGACTATTGAGATAGAAAAAATGAACCAACTTAGAGAAAGACAAAAGAGATTGAACCTTCAAATATGTTGAATTCTTCATCTATCTGAAGAAGCTTAAAGGCACTTCGAGCACGCCAACCTTCTTCTTTTGCTTTTCTATAGTAGATATCCTGCAGACCAACTATCTCATTCTCATAACTCGCAAAATGTAGTAACTTTGGACGAAGAAAAGATGAACTTTAATATGAGCTTAGCTTACCCTTTTATCCCTCGAGGCCTTTCCCATGTTTTAAGCCTTCACTACTTCTGCAGATGCCAAACAACATTACAGCAGGGTTAGTTGGTTAGATAAAGAATTGAAAGAAAGAAAAAAAAGACAGCATGATATCGTATATCGTAGACATAATAAAGCAACAGTTTTCAAATGCATTTTCGAAGTCCATTATTAAACAGCTAAAATTTTACTACTGAAAAAAAAAAAAAAAAGCAAAAGAAAAGAATTATTGATTTTTTTTTCTCTTTTTATTCTGTTTCCTAGGACCAGGAGTAACCAAATTCGAACCAGACATTTCTTCAAGCACCTTATGTGCAAAGCTAGAACTTAGATAGAAGACGGCGTAGGCAATTCCTTCAGTCGCCCAACAAGTAAACATAAACAAAACTTTTATCATCACATGATAATGGGATTAAGAGAAAGGAAAAGACGATATGAACGACAACGAAACTTCGCGTATTACTCACAGAAACCAGTTTTGACAAGAGGCAAAACCGAGCAAATATTGGTTAAGAGAGGGGAAAAATTGTAAAAAAAACCGAAATAAAAGATACGAGAACTAACTTGCTTTTGGTTTTGGCTACTGTTTCAGATTCAGGTCTGGTTAACTATCAGGCGGTGACTACGGATTTCTTCCCGGGCTAAAAGAAACTCTGTAACGAGCAAGAAGCAAAGAAATAAAAAAGGAGCCAGAACAGAATTCTGTAGCGTTTGCCGGTATAACGTTTCGGCCTTTTCCAGGTACTGAGTTCTGTTACTCTCGAGAAAATCTGATTGGGCCTCGTTGCCTTGGGCCCTCATTTGCCTGCTATGCATTAATAAATTTCTATATGTAGTATGACCAAATTTTTTTTTTTTTTCCCTTTCAAAAAAATTTTTTTTTTTTAAATTGATTGTATACCTAATGAGTCGAAATAACACCGCATATTATATAATAAGGATAATTTTCTTCTTATATCACAAAATTGGTGAAAACAATTTAGTTGATCAAATTCACATGAGTGAGAAAATCAATCAGACCACTGTCTGACTGGCAGTATGATTAATAATTATAATTAATAATTTTAGTATGGTACATTAACTATATTAACAAAAATAATAATATTATAAGTAGTTTTTCTTTGTTTTTAATGTTTATTTATATAATAATGTAAAATAAAAAAATTTTTACATTCACTTATACACTTATAGAATTCAATTATACACTTATAGAATGTTTGGTTCAATTGATATTTGTTTTACAACTAACAGCAAAGTTGTTAGTAGCTGATAGTTTTTTGACGAGTAGCTGATGAAATTAGTTGCAACTGTGTTTTAAAAGTTTTTCATATTAGGTAGTAGATGATTTTTATTTATAATATGTTGTACTTTATTACTCTCGTTAAAGTAATTACTAATAAAATTTTATTTTTTTCAAATAAACACTTTTTTTACATTCATTTTATTTATAGTTATTTAAAAATAAAATTTTTATTAAATACCATTTAAAATTTAATTAATATTTTTATTTATATAATACATTAAAATAAAACATAATATATTCACATTAAATTTTAAAAAAATATACATATATATACATTATACATCATAATATATATATATCACATTAAATTTTAAAAAAGTATACATATATATACATTATACATCATAAATATAAAATTAATTAAGTCCCTTAATGATCATTTTATATTTTTTAATAACACCGCTATCAAAATTACACGTGTATATATGCTATTTGATCAACTGGAATGTATATATTTGCTATGATCAACTCAACAAACGGAACTTTGTATGCAACATGCATTAAGATTTTAACACTTTCAACCTTTCAAATTATCTTCATTTTTCATAGTTTTCATGAAGAAGAGTGTTCGGTCACATGAACATTTTTTATTTATATAATACATTAAAATAAAACATAATATATTCACATTAAATTTTAAAAAAATATACATATATATACATTATACATCATAATATATAAAATAATTAAGTCCTTAATGATCATTTTATATTTTTAATAACAACCGCTATCAAAATTACACGTGTATATATGCTATGATCAACTGAATGTATATATGTGCTATGATCAACTCAATCAAACGGAAACTTATGTATGCAACATCATTGATTTAACACTTTCAACCTTTCAAATTATCTTTTTCATAGTTTTCATGAAGAAGAGTGTTCGGTCACATGAACATATATAATATGTTAACGAGCACATTAAGAAGTTAAAAAAATATATACATAAAAAAATCTGATTTCTCATTATTGCTAAATACTTTGTTGTAATTTTCTTGAAACTCAATACCGTGTCAGCCTCTCTCATTGAAGCTTGAAAGTTGAAATTTCACTGCTTTTCAGCAAAGTAAAAGGTACAAAGTCATTTTTCTGGCCGTACTCGACCCAATTAAGCATCATCCTAATAGGGACAGTGCTTCCTTAATCCCTCGTGCTCCAAGCTATAAATTAAATGGGTGACATGAAAGAAGGCCAAAGGTGCTGCCAGTGGCCAGGGACTCGATGTGATAGAATAATAGTTTCAGGTCAACGCATAAGCGCATCATTGAGAATGGATTCTAATTTTAAATGGTTTGCAATAATACCGAGCAAAATGTATTTTACTGTCATATAACAAATCAAGATCGGTAGGCGCCTTGTCAGTTTTGATTCCAGTATTAAGAACACAAAATTGCCTAAATGTCACCCAACAAAAACTATTACACTCTATGCCCTAGCAGTTTGAGCTCTGTTAATGCCTGAATAATAGATTTTCAGCTTCCATTGGCAGTTGGAACCGTTGCGGGTTTTGCATCCTCAGCTTTCTCATGTTCTTTGTTGAGCATCTGAAAACCAATTTGCAAGTAAATGACAAGTCAGGAACATTCACAAGAACATTTATTACCTATTTGCATGGAAAATGCTATTACCTTGTTATTAATTAAGTTGTGGAGTGCAATGACACTTCGGATGAGTGACGAGAGATATATAACCAACATCATATCATTTGTCTTGACTGCCAGAAGGGATAAAAATAATCAATGACCTATGAAGTAGATATTGTTAAGGAAAAAGAATATATGCTGCCATTGACTTGTAATTACCGGCAAAAGCCTTGATCAGCTCGGTCACATTAAGATTTGGCAGTAGGTTGAACACATCCTGAAGAAAAGTCGATCATAAGAAAACACGGTCAACAAAATTGAAAAAATTGAGTGACCTAACAGAACTAGCAGAGTGAGTCTTAATGCATTAACAAAATTAGTCAGACTTTAATTTTGTTACAACAAAAACAATGTTGCTAGGCTATTGAGATATGATAAGCAAGTAAAGTTAATTATAAACTAGTTCTCTAATTAAAGATAGGCTATTCATAGTCCGCAAAAAGAAAAATGGCAGCAGTGACCTTATTAAAACAAAATAAATGTTGAATACTTCTACTGATGGTATATCAATCGACCATGCTGAAATTTAGTAATAAAATCAGAGGGAAATTCTAAAACTAAGCCTACCACCATATAACCAAATGCACATAGAACATAAATGACAATCTAACAGATACTGTTGAACTATTTCATAAGCAGCTAAAGACTAAACTCAAACCTCATTATGCCTCTTAAGAGTCATCAACAAACTTGATAAAAATATAAATGTATTTAGCATTCTAAACAACTCGACTAAAACTTGATCCTGAACTAGTTAGGGTTGACTAAACAGACACATTTCTTCCATTACATTTGCTTTAGGGATAAATGCATTAATTAGCAATTAATAGAAACTTGATCAAATTGCCATGTAGTTATATGCTCAAACAATTCAATACCCAAGAAATTTGAGCATTTTATTTCAATAATTGAAACAATAAGTCTATTCTATTTAGGGTGAAAAAATGAAGAATCATTTGGCATATGTGATGAGAGTATTATATTACATATTATGAACAGATTAGTACCTTTTATATAAAAAAGGAAAAGCAAATGGTAAGGTGCAATAACAAATATTTAGTAAAACACAAACCTGTAAATGGTAAAGTATCTCATGATTTAATGGAAGCTTTCCATCAATGACAAGATCAAGGTAACCGCGTATTTCTCGTAATCGTGCATCCAAGCCCTTCAAGGCTGTAAGTTTTCCAGTAACCTAAGCAGAGAAAAGCAAATAATGATTCTTCCCTCTCTTTGTTCAGCTATAACTTCAATATTGATAAACTCAAAAAGGTAACTAAAAAAAGAAGAAGAAAGCTCAATTATATCACAGAAAATTTGTGAGAAGAAAAAACCTCGGTTGCAAGTGTGCTGATAGTCGTATCCTTCACATCCCGTAGCAAGTGCTCAACACCTGTTGATGGATAACAAAAGTATCAGAAATGTAAATCAATCTCATACTAATACAGGTGAATCTTAACTGCATATTAGTCAGAACCATGAACAGAAAGCAATAATAATAATAATAATAACAATAATAATAAAAACAAACAGAAAGCAGACATCCTGACAGGAGAATTTAATTTCCATATGAAACCATACCAATTTCCTCAACTTCGTGAGCAGCAATTTCTGAAGGCACATGAACAAAAACCTTCTGGCTCTTTTGAGTGGCATTCTGTTATCATAATAAAAAAAATGTAAGGGAAAAATAGAGCAACCATCAAGCGATATTAACATCCCTTTTGAGGACATCTGACAAAAATGATACGTAGGGGATATTAAATAACTCCTTGAATTTTTAACCTTTCCTTAACATCCTGTGAAATGTCCTTGACAATTAAACCAGTCATATCCATTTTCCAAATAATGCATACAACTACCAGAGAAAGAATTAACTTTTATTACCTCTTTAACCTCTTCAACATCATAGTACGCCTTTGTGGGTATTCCCAACTCCTTAGGCTGAACATCAATAATGACCAAGACGGGATTTTGGACATAGCTACATAATCATACATCATGTAATTACAAAATGTGGACCACAAAAGAATTACTGTGATCTAAGTAGAAGTCTCATCCTAATTGGAAGGCAGAAGCCTGAAGGAGTGATAATGAACACAAAGACACGGCGGTAGAATAGAATAGAATAGAATAGAAAGTGAAAAGAAATAGGTGTTAGAACTTGCAAAACGACAAAGTAAAAGAGGGCATTATCTCACTTGTGGAACAACTGGTGAATATCTAGATCATTCTCCCGCAGCTTGGGGCCTGTACTATACCAACCTACAACATGCTCCTTGGCTGAAAGAATTGATGCCACGGCATCATAACACATACATGGAGATAAATAACAAATCAAAATACGAATAACCATTTACATAAATCGAAACATGAATTACCATTTATCCTTTTGAACATTGAAAACATAGATTCATGGTAGTTATGGTCAAGAAACCATATACTTGGATCCTTGTCATCTTCTTCAAAGGGCACTGAAAATGCAAAATGCTACTATAAGAAAACTACCAAGAATACTCATTTTAACAATCCATATCCACTATGTTTAAAAGATACAGTATGATCTAAAAACACATCCTTATCTGAGCAAGCTACGTTGCTTTTTCTCCTCATAACCAAATCTACAAAATTTTACAACTTCTGATCCAAAGAAGAGGAAATCCCTTTGAAAACAAAATAGCCATACGGCTCCTCATGACTATCTCATTAGCATGGACTCCAATCTTCTTCAGCTAAAAGTTCATTGTCTAAGAAGGAACTGGGTAACAAGGTAGGTAAAACCACAATCGCTAACACACTCAATTGAGTATTTGGCAATCAATATTCTAAAGTAACACAATCAGAAATTGAACCTTACAACCAAAAGTATAAACTCTCCATAATTAACCACACAAAATAGGAACCAAAAAACAAACTAATAATAGCTCTGGAACCTCACTATCAAACAAGGTCCATTGCATAAACCCTAATCCACTGTTCGAATAAGTAAACTGAAAAACCCTAACTAACTCTATTACAGAGAACCTCGAGCAAAAAAAATTAGATCTAGCACGCAATAACAAAATTCAACAGTGAAGCAAGAACTAAAAGAGGATATTATCGAATTGAATATAAATATATTATTTATAGGACCTGCATAGCTGTTCGTGACATCGACGGTGCCCTTAAAGGAGCTACCGAGTAAGACCCCGATGACTCGCTTGCGAGTATCCTTAGCAACTCGGGTGTAGTTGTCGACGATGCTCAGCAGAACCAGTGGATGCACTATCACCTTCTCTATTGGTCTTGATTGAATCTGCTGTGTCTTTATCACGTCCATTGCCAAATTCTTTTAGCTTGCTCTCGAGAAGATGATTGCTCTGTCACTTGCCTTGCAAAACCCTTTTCTTTTTCTGCTTTCTACTATTTCTACTTTCTACCCGCTTCTTCTCCTACCAGCAATCGTTTCGGTTCTTCGTTAACCGGTTAACCCGATACCATATATTTCGGGTCTAAAACGTTTATTTTCAAAAAAAAAAAAAAATTCATAACTATTTTTTATTTGTTATGATATTAAAAAATAGTTTAACATATTATAATTTTCAATTTATAAGACAAAAAATATGTAGGATTATAAAAATTTATATTTAAAAATTAATCATTTAATAAATAATATAAATTATAATAATCACTAATGATAAATATTATGACTTTTTATAATATTGATAATCTGTGTTGGTCAGTGATAATACGATAATGGTTCTCAATGAGCAGTGTATCAATAAGTATATTGAATAGGTGTTTATAAATTATAAGTTTGATATTCTATTATAATAAATTTACCAATATTTCAAAAATATTTTTCTTTATTAAGAGAGAAGTCATCTTTAGTTCTGAAAAAATAGTTTTTATAATTAATTTTACTTAAGGCTTCAAATAAAAGAAAATCCAAAAAAATTATCTAAAATTATATTTTTAGAAAAAACCGAGCCCCAATTTAACATGTGATTTTCCTCGGATTTCTTACCCGCTTTTGAAATTTTATTTCATTTTATCTTTTAGAATTTTTTTTTTGAAGGTTAGAACAATTTCATTTTAAGAGTATATATTTTACTACTTTTAAAATTATGTTAATATACAAATCATATAAAATAAATACATTAAATATTTAACTTAAGATTTAATATATAATTTATTTAACTGAAAATTTAAAATATAATATATCAAATCACTACATTGACCTTGAGGTTTAAACATTCAGCTATGTTCTTTTGTACAATTTATCCAATGAACACAAAATCTATCTCTCTTCGATGGAGTAGTTTTGAATTGTCTTCCATATTTTTTTTTTTCTTTTCTTTGTGCATCCAATCACTATAGAATAATAAATTCTCACATCGTCTAAAAAGCCTTCTAAAAATTGTCTTTTAAATTTTTTTTGTCTTTTAAAATTTTTTTTGACCCGTAGGCTTGACATACCAAATAAACAATGACATTAGCCCATTCAATTCAAGGCTATGATTTCTCCCACCATATGATTTCTTTTACTTAAAATTAAATTAATCAACATTTCCGATATATACTAACAATCAGGTATTTTGCCAGTAGTGTCGGTTCAGTGCGTTGTTTTCAATTCTTCCATTCCAACCGTCGCTCTTAGGTGGGCAATAGATGAACTTCATTGGTAACCCTAAATGAGGTTGGTGCTATTCCCTAGCCTTCGATTGGGAGAGCTCCTGTCACCTAAACTTGCCTTCACCAAAAATAAAAATAAAAAGTACTTTAAAAAAATCAATTTCTTTTGTACTTTGATGAAAATTCAAGCCTTTTCAATTCCGATAGTCTTCATTCTTTAACACATAGATTATGGAGTTGTTAAGCAAGAACTGACTGGCAACAAAAAAAAAAATATTCAAACCAACCAAAATAACGACTGATCCACAGTTGAGTTTACTCCGTAAAATAAAACGAAATCAATGTTACTTCTAAGGGCAGAGGAGACCATTATATCATCCACCTCAATTCCCAGTCGCAGATCCCCGCATTTTACATCTGATAGTCCATTCGCTAAAGCTTTAATCACATTCTCATAGTAATTTCCAACCACTAAAGTCAGTTCTGAAAGGTTAACACAGAAGTCTTGGTATTTAATTGAGGGTTATCAGAATCAATGAATCGCTGTACCTGAACCCTTCTCTCTGCGAAATATTCAAGTCTGTCCAACGCAGGTACTGTCTGACACTCTCAAAAAGCTGTCACTCAAAACATCCCCATGTGCAAAAGTCCATTTCACTACTTCGCATGAATCGCCGATTGCTGTCCTAGCAGCCAGAGTAAATGATAATGATTGAATTTCTTCATTGGATATCTACTAATCTCAGTCTCATCATCAGACTTAAGACGGCAAAGGACATTCTGATGACCTGACCATTCATTAAGGCATACCCAGCAAGTGTCAACATGCACAATACAAACACCCAAAGATTTTCCCAATCCGTCACTTGCAGCAAGCAAATTTCCTGTTCTCCACTAATGAATCATGGTTAGCCTTCAAATTCCACTTGTATGAAGCATCAGATTCAACTGAACGATGAGCTTCCTTGTTACAAGTCCAGCAAAAGCTATGAGAACCAGCACAAGAAATATCAAAACCTTGATATTTATCAACAAGTTCACTAGCATTATCACAATTTTCACCAGGTCACCACTTTCTCGTCTTGTAGTCATCCACACAAGACTTAAAAGAAAATGAGAATACTTCTCCTTTTCTTCAAAGGCAATGCATCAAACACCATATCTTCACCACCAGCAACTCCACTAGAACGTTGAGGACATCATGAATTCAAACGTTGAGAACCATAGTTTACAAACCAAGCTAATATAATGAACCCAACAATTTCTACAAAAAGGATGACCACAAGCAACAGCATTAATTTCCTCTCCTGAATAGGTAAAAAACAAATACAACAAACAAATTCGATAGAGCTCTCATCAACAGAGACATTAAATTCTAATGGAGGTATATTAAAGAGAAACAACGGGTTACCAACACAATTCAATTTTGTAAACTCTTAACTTCTTATTTAAGTTAGTGACAACAGATATTGACAAGAACATGCTAAAAATTGGCAAAATATATTATTACCTGCAATTTTGACAAATGATGCCATGCCTGCCTATCATGACAGTTATCTGGAAAAAGAATCAGTCACAGAGATAATCAAGCAAAAACACAGTAGCACATCCATTTAAACTAGAAAATGAGCAAAGCAAATTACAAACACAAAAAGGAAATTCTACGAACCTCCATATTGAAGAGACCCACTTCTTTTGAAGAGTGAACATTCCATCTCTTCAACATCTATGAGGATTGAGTTTGAGCTCGAGAAGATCCTATAATAACACAATAACTGGAAAGGCAACGAGTTTTAATCCAAATTTAACTTCAATTTCATACGTTTCGAGTTAACTACTAGATTATTACAACCAAAGTTCTCACTTTCATCTGCAATAATTTACACATGAGGGTTACAATCACAAAACCGAAATTGCACCGGAAAAAAGAGAGCTTTCCCACACTTCAATACCCTCAACATCTTCTCTACTAACAAACAGCCTATTTCCACCTCCTTCGATTTTCTTAATTATCCCTCTTTCTGAATCCTCCATTTTATTCACGAAATTCCGTCTATACAACTCTTCACCTATCAAATTCTCACTCTTTATTCCATTTTCTTTCTCTACCACTTTTGACCAAACCTCTAAAGACCCTTCTCTTCCCACAAAAACCTGACCCTTATAGCAATGAATCACACTATCAATTAACCCGCCAGTGAATCTCATACTTGGGTTTTTATCTTTCATATAAACCCACGGATCATCCCCTAAATTACGTAAATCCGCCATTGCCAAATCTCCAGACTTAGAACAAATCTTGAACAGAGTCGAATTCTCTATATCGACATCAACGTCAGCAAACGAATCACCAAACCTGCTACTCCGGCCCGAACCTGGTTCATTCGTTTCCCAAACCACAGCGTCAGCCCTTGGGTCCCACAATCTAATATATCCTGTGTAACCAAACGCCCCACTTGTGACCGCCGTTCCGACTAGCAGACCGGTATCGGGAAGCCACGTCAGCTTTCCCGGAACCATATGCTTAGCTGAGCTGCCAGATTGCCTGGTGATCTCACGGACGATCTGGAGCGTTGATTTATCTACTATTAATATGCAATTCTCTTTATGTTGACACTCGAAGGAAGCAAAAACTTGATCAGGTGAATCAGTAATTGAAGTTACTCTGGCTTTATAGATTCTAGGATCGGAGGGATCAGTCCAGTGGATTGACCCTAGGTGGCGAGCACCGCAAAAATCATAGAAATGAAGTCCAGCGTCGGAATCGGATCCAATGGCCGCAACTTCAGGCAAGACTCTTCGGATTGAGGTGATATCATCAAGATGAGTACGAATAGTGCCGGCATGACTGAGATTCCAGTCATAAGATGAAATTTGGCCACCGTGTGCAATCCAGACGGAGCCGTCGCCAGCTGCGGCAGTGAAAGTAGAAGGAAGGCCATCAGAGGCGGGGTGGATGGTGGCGACTTGAGAAGCATCGATACCAGATAGAGGCGGCGGAGACATAGCCAATCGAAGCTGAGACTCGATTCCATAGTAAGTAGCCTCATCGGCGAGCTCTTGCTTGGAGAAGCGTTGAGCAGAAGAGGGTAAGCGATCAGAGCGGAGGAGAGACAGAAGAACGGAGAAGATCTCAGGGTCACGGTCAATGAAAACAGGGTCAGGAGAAGGGCGGGTGGAAAGGGCGGCTAAGAGAGAGTCTGGACCCCCGGATTGGAGAGTGGAAATGGTGGTTTCGAAAAGCTTGCCCCCGACATTGAGCTTGATACGATCGGTGGGATTAGGGATTTGGTTCTCCATTAAAATCTTTTCCCGTCCTTGTCTTTGCTCAGAACTTTAATGGTGAAGATTTATGTTATCCATTACTTGTATTGTTGTATAATACTGCTGCATCTATGTTATTGAACTAAAAAGACAAAAAAAATAAAAAAAAATAAAAAAAATAAAATAATAAAGAATACTGTTACTAAAAGAAGGAAAAATATAACTTGCTACATGAATTATGGTGAAATAATGAAAAATTAATATATAAGCACCTTTATTTTAAAAAATTAAGAGCTTCTTAAATTATATCTCGAGTAACAATTTAGGTATACGTGATTTATTTAGATGAAAATATTGAAAATGGGAGCCATTGACAAATGAGAGTGTTGTTCCTCTTAAGCGATGAGGAGATGACAGTGAAAGTGTGAAAGAGAGATTTTCTTTTTCGTAATTTAGATATTATTCTGTTGATGTGTATCTTCGAGCAATGGAGTCTGATAGTGCGACTTATTTCTCCGTTTATGCTATTAATGCATAGTTTTTAACTCGTCCATATTCATCGTACACAACAAGTTTTTGAAAAAACAACCCAAACATAGAAGATTTAGAGAAATTATTTTATCGTCCAAATCAATTAAAGAATCAGTTGCTGCAATGAAAATTTATATCGGTCAAGATTATCTTCAACTGGAAAAATCCAATATTATTTCTTTTAATTTTAGTTTTATTATTTAAAAGACTATAGATAATTATTTTATTGTTTGAAGGATCAACGAATTTTCTATTAATTATGATAGTAAGTTCTGTATTTAGTCTAATTTAGTATTTATAATACTTGATTTTATTATAATGAATTATATTTCTCCAAAAAGAAAATATTGAGAGGACTAATTGTAATTTCAAATGTACGGGACTGTACTGTATTTTTTTTTTTTCCAGATCAAAGTGTTAACGAAATCATAAATTAGAAATTTTATAATTGATTTTAGAAAACAGATGTATTTATGTATTAATTTGACCGTATATGTAATACCTTGAATTTTTATTTTCAAACATTATCCAATTAAATTTAATGAACCGACAGCTTGGAAATTAATATTAATATTTTAGTGCGAATACTGTGAGAAACTATTTATTATACTTGATTTTATTATAATGGAATTATAATTTCTCAAAAAAGGAAAAATTGAGAGGACTAATTGTAATTTCAAATGTACGGGACTTACTGTAAATTTTTTTTTCCAGATCAAAGTGTTAACGAAATCACTAAATTAGAAATTTGTATAATGATTTTTAGAAAACAGATGTATTTATGTTTTTAATAAATATATATGATAATGAGACTGTAATACCCTGAATTTTTATTTTCAAAAATTATCCAATTAAATTTAATGAACCGACAGCCTGGAAATTAATATTAATATTTTAATACAAATACTGTAAGAAACCGAACCGAAAACCGATTGAAAAAGGCCGAAAACCAATTGAAAACCAAAGATTTGGGTCGAATCGAATCGAATCGAACCGGTTCGACCCAAACCATCTAGAAAAATCTCTTTCTTTTTTTTATCTCCAGCGCTGCACCTCCACTCCTCACCCTCACCAGCGCCACACCTCCACTCCACCGACACAGCCACTGCGCCTCCTCCTCCCTTCCTCTTCTTCTTCTTCTTCTTCTCTTCTTCTTCCTTTCTTTCTTTCCTTCTTTCACTTCACTGCGTCTGCGATCTTGTTCTTGACGAGGCAAAACAGCAGCAGCGTCGCGCGACACCCCCAGCTGATCGGACCTCCTCGCGCGCCACCGCTGCTCCCCGCGACAGCTCGACCTCGGCAAGCTTGCCGTTCCGCCCCTCCCTCCGCTCGAACCAAGCGGAGACAGCAGTCTATGTTGGTGAATTGAGATAATTAAGAAACCAAAAGCACAGAAGAGAAAGTGGAGCTGTATCTATTACATATTAATGAAGAAAAGAACAGAGCCTTTTATAGGCATTACATAAGAACTGAACAGCAAAAATAGCCTAAAAAATCTGCAACTAATCTTTTCAATCCGACACGCGTAAAAACTCCCGATCTAGCAAAATTCGACAAAAAAAATCATATTTTGGGGTAAAAATTAATTTTTATAATTTTAGTTACTTGAATTAATTTTATTATTGTAGTTAGCACAGCAGTCCTTTTAAGGCAACAAAAACAGTGAGTAGTGTTAGATAATAGTTCATCCGCCTGGCATTCAGTGCAATTCACGGACTCTAAATGTTATCATGCATTATTTATTGAAAATTGCCCATATTATGATTGCACCATTTTGTTGAATTTAAAAAATTGTTTTGTTTACTTGTGCTGTGAAATACACTGTGCCTTTGTTGTGTGGAATTGGGAGATGACGTGGGACCCACCATGCGGTTTGTTGAGGGAACGGTCTGTGTATATGGCATTCCTGAATATGAGATGATATGAAATTGGACCGTCGGGGCCGGATAAAATGGGAGATCGGCTCCCCCGTGTCAACCTGATGATATGGATTGTATGGAAACCACAGGGATGGCTTTCTTGTTCTGTTGCGCACTGATTAATCTAGATTTGATTGTAAGCCCGCAGGGTGGCCTCCTGTTGTGAGCACTTGATGTTCTAGATTGGGATGGAGACCACCGGGTTGCCTCCTGTGGTTATTGGAAAAGAAAAGAGAAGGAATGGAAAAACAATTGAGAGGAGCTGGTTCAAGTGAGGATTAGACCAGTTGGCCGTATGGGGGATCGGCTAACCGGTTGGCACATGTATGAGAGGGCGAGCCATGTGTGGAGGACGCCTCGTTGGGGTTTCAGGTTCGGTGCCACTGACTAATTCCACGTGATGTTGATTATATGAAGGTGATGATACTTGTGTTGATTTTGCTGTTGTAATTGCCATTTGCTGTGACAAACTTGCATCATCATATAATTAAACGGTAACTAGATAAAATATTTAGCATTCTGTGTGATTGTGTGGGGGTGAGGAGGTTAATCTTAACCCTACTCATTGAGTTTGGCGCTCACCCCTGCCTTTACTATTTTTTTTTCCAGGTATAGAAAGAAAGAAAAGCCTTGTAGAGTTGAGGACACTTATTGTAGAAAGACTGTTTAAGGATAGGAAATAACGATCCTGTAATATTAAAGTAAGGAGTTCCGCAATTGTATTTCCAGTTGGTTGTTAAATAAATAATAAAAGTCCATATTAAATATATGAAATTGTATTTTGAATGCATATGTATAAAAGTTAATTGGGCCTGAATCCATTAATTTATGAATAGGACTGTTGAGATTTAAATAAGTTTAGGCCTTTACTACGGGCTTCGGGGGCCTTAAGCCCACCCAGCGTTCCCTGAATCCATAATTATGAATAGACTGTGAGATTTAAATAAGTTAGGCTTACTACGGGCTTCGGGGGCCTTAAGCCCACCCAGGTCCTAGTGCCGATCCGACCCACGGAAATGGGTCATGACAGTATATCAAGGACAAATTTATATTTTTTTCCATCTTAAAAAACCTACTATTTTATTTTTATAAGGAAAAAATTTGCTGAGACCGAGTCTATGGTCCAAGCCAATGAAATTAAATATTTTTTTAAAAAGAGTTTTATTTTATCCTTTTCCCCCCTAAATATATAGTGAGAAATATTATTATTTTAATAATAGTCCTTAATTTCATTGATTCCGTATATAAGTTGGGATACAGACTCGGTCTAAGCAAGTTTTTTTTCCCTTTATATAAAATTGATTTCATCTTTTATTAGTCAATTAATAGTTATAAGAGAAGTTGTGATTTTGTTGGTTTTTTCACTTACGTGAGGAATGAGATGTCTTGAGTTTGATTTCTTTTTACCACATGTGTTTTCACCATTTCGGTGAACCAAGGAGAGGGCTACCCCTGTTTTGCAGCCCACTGTGTTTTTTTGTCCATAAAAGCCTTCAATGAATTAAAAAAAAGAAAGAATATAATTCATTAAATATATATTTTTTAAAAGGCTAAATCATAAAAAAGGGCATGATTTTGACAATTTTTTTTATATTTTAGAGGCTAACTCACATTCATGTGGGAATTTTTTTTTAATTACTTTTAAAATTTTTAAGTTGAAAGATTGCGTAGTTGAGACAATATCCTTTCGTCCCACTGCAAGTTTGAAAGGATTTGATACAGTTTTATAATTAACAGACTTTTGATGTATTCAGCGAACAACTTGTACCGTTAGCAACCTCAAGATCTAACGAGTAGATATTTTTTTCTCATAAAACTGCATCACTTGACTGCACCCAATCAGACTCTGGAAGGGGGCTAAAATTAATAATATAAAATAAATACACAATATTGATTGAAAGAATTAAAAATAGTGGCGAAATTAAAAAAAAAAAAAAAACTCAAACATTCAGGCTTTTTTTTTTTGTGTGTGTGATTATGCCTTTTCTAAATCTTAATAGAGTATGATTTATTGCAACATTCCAAAGATGCTATGACTCCAAAGAGAGTATGAGATGCTCCTGTGGAGCTTTTAACTAAATCAACGAAGCAAAGTTGCAATGAATTAAGAATGCATAAGAAAATGATGGCAATTCGCAAGCAAACATGTCAATTAGTCTGTTAAATCCATATGTACTGAAATTTTGAAACTTGATCTGACTAATAAAATTGGTGATGCAATGCAAGGAGATGGAGAATTATTTATTGTTCATGGTTTAAAATTAACCTGAATGATATGTTCTACTCACTACTACACACAGGGTTGGACTCGAGAATTCGATTTAACCAAGCAGGGTAGAAGTGGGCCTGATTTGTCAAGCCTAATTCAGGTTTTGGGTTTTGATCATAACCCAAATGAGTTGAGTGATTAAATGGGCTTGCTTGCACCCAGGACTCACTTTCATTTTGTCGAAAATTCAATATTCCTGAAGCTTAATTAATTCACTGTTTATTTTGTTAATATTAAAATTTAAATAAATTTATTTATTAATGTAAGTTTATGAGTATTTAAAAGGAACACTTTCTATGTTGACCCTATGCTGGAAGAGATTTATGGGGGGAGGCTCTGGAGGAGAGGAATGCAGGAGTAGTGGTGCGAGATAATGTTGAGAAGGAACTTGTT